GGATTTTTACGCTCTTCTGAAAAATCAAGTTGGGGCTAGTTGCGAAATAGCAGAATTCGATCGAGAAATTTCATGTACGCTATCTTATTCGTCTAAAAAAAGTGTCCTAATAATGTCACATTTTGTCAGCTGTCAAAACAACCGTTTCGGATTCATTGGCGAAAGACGAAATCCGCCATTTTGTTTTATTGCCGATATTTCCAGAATCAATTGACCGATTGTGATTCTGAAGTCAGTTATCGAATGCACTAAATTTCCTCCAAAACTTTCCCCATTTAACCATTGCTGTAGGTATGATAGGAACCGAGATCCCTGTGAAGAGAAGCGAATCTAGGACACATTGTACATGCGTCAATAGTGACACTTCCACAAATACTATGCATACAAAGTAATTGAATAGGTAGGTACCATACACATGGCAATTGAGAGGATATTAGATATGAACATAGTAGATAGCCTAATAATAACCGACTCTTTGTCAGCTTTACAGAAAATCACTAGAAAAGGGATCCACAGTGAAAGTGACTGGATAGAGCTGTCAACAAAACAAAAATTAGCCCAAGCAAACCTGAAAGGATTCAATATAAATCTAATGTGGGTACCAAGCCATACAGGAATAAAAGGAAACGACAAAGCAGATGAACTAGCCTCAGACGGAAGAAAACTCCCAACATATCAAAAAATGAAGATGGATAGCAAAAATTTTATACCAAAAATGAAGAGATATATATGGGAAGAATGAACCGAGAAATGGAAAAACATATCAAAAATCAATGGCAAAAGATATCACATAATAGAAAACACACCACCAAAACAACACTGGTACAAAAAAAATTAGAGGAATAAATCGTAAGGAGATTGTTACATTTAATAGATTAAGATCATCCCGAGGATCATCCCATTGCAGTGTCCCAGAACACCTGTACAGAATAGGAGTCAGCGAAAGCCCCAGATGTAAGTGTGGAGAAATAGGAACAATCCAACATGTGCTACTAGAGTGTCCTGAGAATTTACAAAACTGTGACGAGCTGTACCATTCCATAGTCAAGAAAGAACCGTCCCCAATCAACGAAAATAGCATAGTGTGCACACCAACATTTTTCAAAGTCAAAGCGGTGAGTAAATTTTTGAAAAATAGTAATAATAAAATATAAATAATTGATAGATAATTACAAACTACCCAGAAAAGTAAATAGGTAATCTCAAGAGAAGGGAAAAAACAGGAAGAGTATGGTGAAAAGCCAGACATGCCACAAGGCAAGCTCTCCCTGGGGAAAATAAAACTAACAAAAAAATAGATGATGGTTGTGTCGAGAGACGAAGGCCTTTAATGAAGGAAGAAGAAGGTAGGTACCAGGACTAACCACATTGCTTGGATGACGCCGGTTCATTATTAGTTCTTTAGGACGAATAGAAAATAATTCTCCTATTTCTGATGAAGACCCAATAAAGGGGTTCAAACTTGAACGATGGAAACTTGTTATTTTTTTAAACCTTTAATCGCACATTCGTGATTAGGATTTCTCAATTCAGAATTTCTTTCCACGTTCATGCATCCAAAAATAGAATATCTCCCCATTGGCACTTCTTGATGCTCAGTATATACCGGTATTACAGGTAGATTTTGATCTCAAATGAATTCATCATGTTTTTTCACATCACAATTGTCTTGGAAATTTTCAGAGAAATTAATGTTCCCAATGATTTTGTTTTTCATGAATTGGAGTTATTAACGAGATTTCAAGTTCAGAAAATATTCCATATTTGAATTAGTTATTCATTGTATAACCATCATGTTGCTAAACTCACTAACTGATAAATCTTCATCAAATGATGGATCATTCTACCATCTCTCGCTTTCTAACTAGCTTCTCCATTCAGATCGACAATGATTCTACGAATCAAATATAAGTAGGTATCAGATCCATCAATTCACGCAAAGTAATTATGTTACCTTGATGGACATCATTACTGAATTTGGCAAAATTTTATATTATGATTACAATGTTGAATCATCATGTTTGGTTTTAAGTTTACGAGCTCTTGTTGTTTATTGCTTGGAATATTATAGATAGGAACTGACCTTCTCAAAACTCCAGAAATTACTCTTTGTATCCAACTGAAAAAACAATCGAATTCTAACAACTATATTTACTATATGATAATTATTATATGCTTCCTAGTGACAATGTCATGCAAATACTGACATGCAACCAATCACCACTGATGAATATATACCTGCAAGGTAATGTAATCACTTGATGAATGACTCATGTGCCCCGAGGGGAGGATTCAATATCATTTCATCATGATTCATCTATTAGGATATATATAGGCAGTATTTCAGAATCATCCCATGTACTATGGGGTTGAGCTTTATAACAATCTCAGCGAAGAAATGAAATCGTCTTCAAATATCAATGTGTTCAAAAGACAACTCAAATCATTTTTATTGCAAAATGCATATTACTCTGTTGATGAGTTTCTCCAGGAATCTTGATGTCAAATTATTCATCAGATTACCCCAATGATATTTCTATGTTTAATGTTGTTTGTATATATTTGTCTGTTTTATACCTATTCTATTTCATTCTTAAAAGTAGATTTTTAGTGTGTTAATATTAATTATAGTATAACTTTCTCAATTCATTTTTCATTGTTTGGCCTATTGAATTAGTAAGTAATTTACGATGATATTTTCTAATTCGTTTCTAATTTTCATTCTAAAGGAAAACTTATTCAATAAAAGTTTGAATGATTGATTGATTGATTATGAATTGCTGTGAAATGTACTGCAATTGAATAATGTGGTGATGCCAATAAGTTACTGCAGGGTAATACCACAGTTTAGGGAATATTAATATTCCCTAGACTCTGGTAATACCAAGGTATTACTGTGGAGTCAAGTATGTCAAGGTACTGTACCATACTGCACAGCGAGCTGCACAGGTAATATGGAAACATAATATTAATATTATGCCATTATTGTCAGTACTGGATATTAACCTGGATTAAAATATTTTTTTTATTTTTTTTTTCATGATGGCCTAGCTTTCAAAAGTTGTCCAATGGTAAGGAGACAATTTTGTAATAATAAAAACAAATACCACCGTTCCCTTCAGTAGCCCCACCTTCCGCAAAAAATATTTTTTCTAGTTTTTCCAATGGCCAGGGTTTCATAATCACGAAAATTAAGAGACAAGAATAAATTCTGCCAGAAATTTGTATAACTATTGGATAACAAGAAACAAACTCAAAATAAACACACACAAAAATAACCTATATGGTAATTATGCAAAAAATACGAACTTCGAGGAGATAAAGATAAAAATTGGAGGAGAGAAGATACAAAAAGTTGAAAATACAAAATATCTTGGCTTAGTTGTAGACGACAAAATGAATTGAAATAAACCTCCGAATAAACATATTGACCACATTGAAAATAATGTGGTGGGGATGATCGGAGCGATTTATCGATGTAGAGACTATCTTGATAACAAACTATATACTCAAATCTATAATGTAAACTTTTTATCTATTTTGAGAATCTTGATTCCCTTATGGGGTTTTTGCTGGGGTTTTAGTGTCCATACACTATTTGACAAAGCAGAAAAACTACAAAAATAAAATTATAAAAGTTTTATTCAATATGGAATTCAGAACACCAACAAAACAGGTTTATAAGCAAACTGGCATTTAATCAATCTCAGAAATATTGAGAATTCAACAGAGAAAATTATATTTACGAAGTTTGCAAATCTGAACAGAAGTGAAATTCACGAATTAAATTTAACTCAAAATTAAACCATGAAGTCCATTCCAATGAGACAAGGAACCAAAGAAATATATACTTCCAGCCCACAAGAACAAACATCTCCCTAAAGAACCCTCTCAATAAATGTATCAAGACTTTTAATTGTCTACCAGTGGCTTTGAGGGAAGCCGACAGCATAAAAATATATAAAACAAAAATCACAATATTGATCATATTAGGATAATATCAATGAAATTAATGTGTGTAGGATTAAGAAGTATCTAGACCAGCGTCATGTGCTGCTGATTTGGAATTATTTTTCAAATAGCCTCTAGAACAGTTATCTACTAAATTAACAATAACTAAGATCAGATTGTGAACTATTTGAATAAAGCCTTTGAAAAAAGGTTGGTGATGGGGCACCTGAAGAAGATGCGAAGATGCTCAAAACATTTTTTTTTTTTCAACAGAAATCCTTATCATTTTTGGGATAGGTGGGGCACTTGAAGGGGACGTTGGAATTTCTTTTTAATTTCTGCAAAATTGTCTCCTGACCATTGGACAACTTTTGCAGATCAGGCCATTAACAAATAAAAAAAATTATGATTTCATTACATTTTTTATCCAGTTTACTGGGTCTAAATAGTAGTTCCCATAATCCACAAAACATTAATTTTTCAGCACTTTCCCAACTGGTCATAATTAGGGATGAAACGTTTTTTTTTTATCCTATTCCATACTGTCTGTAGGTTAATCAAGGAGGTGGTACATTCATTATTCCAAATTTTTTGGGATTTTCTCTCCTCGTTTCTAAAAAATCAAAATATATATTTTATAGTAACCAGGAGAGAAAATCCCAAAAAAATTGGAATAATGAATGCTATTCCAATATTAGATTATGATAATATGCCTCATCTAGATTCATTTTTAAGATGTACTGAGAGTATAATCTTAGATTTCTTGCAATTGACCAATCTGACATGGGGAATGTGTCATTTTATATATCTGCTTCAACAAAATGAAAAGCACATGGAGACCAATGATTTTCAATAGGCAATTCTGATATCCATTCATAATTCTTCATCTTTTGAAAATGTTAATATTGAGACATACTTCTTTTCGGAAGCATAGTTCTTACAACAAGGTTCACAACAATGATTAGGCATTTTCATCAAGTATTAAGTAATTTAAAAATTACTCAAGAACCATACTGTTTTTTGTTTTATCGCTCTTGGAAATTACTTACTTCCAGAAACACTTCCACAAAATATAAACAAAACAATCAAAACAAATAAATATTTTAAATATAAAACATAACCTCTAACTACTAGAGTCACTTGGACACAGGACACAAAATCACAGAATCACAGAATCACAGAAATGAGAAATTGGGAAATGAGAAATAACGTGAAAAAATTATAAAAACTTCTTATCGTTCGTGAAGTTTTTACATTTGCCATGGATTTCCATCAAGTAACGGCCGAGTCAATTCAAAAAAACGGACAGTATAAGCACAGTAGAGGTAAGCTCTCTACTGTGGTATAAGTTTACGTTAACGAGGGCCTCGCAGGCTATATTCCGAATTGAATTGACACGTGCTGACAGTACTGAATCTGCTGATTTAATTTTCATTCGGAAATCAAAAAATTTACTGAAAGTGACAGATGCTTGTGAGCAGACATCTTAGAGCAGCCATTTCAAATATTTCGACCCAACATCCTGCTGAAATTGCTGAGGAAGGTAATGTAGCTTCAGTGAACTGTCATTATTTTAGAGGGGGAAGGAATATATAATTTATTTCCGTTGTTAATGATATTTTTTTCAATATCAGAAAATACCTGTTATAGAATAATGAATGCTGAGAATAATATGGAGTATGAAGTAGTAGAGGTAACGAGAGAAGATGCAGCATTGGCTGAATAAATAACTGAATAAACCTGAAATGTCTCCTAAATTCATCATAAATAATACCATATTACCTATCCCATCAATCTGGTGCATCATGAAAAATGAATGGCAATAAAATGTTCATGTATGCTTCATCACTCGAGCTTGATTCGGCATCGTCAACAATCGTAGAAACTATGAAGGCTACAAGAATCGATTGCTCTTTCATGTTGAATATTGAATTTCCAAAATTTATATCAAGCAGAAGGCTGAATATCTAGTTCAGATAAACGAGAAACTACAGACTGACAAATTTCACTAGCTGATCAACTGTTGCTGACCACTGATGAAAACCATGAAAACGTGTTGCGAATTACAGCACTTTATTTATGATTTTAAATTTCGGAACACAGATTTTCAGCAGAGTCAGTAATGGTTATGCTCTTTCTCTCAATACGATCCTATTCTTCATCTTCCTACCAGGAAATTTAAATACCTCGCAAATTTTGTGGCCTGAACCTGTATTCCATGCCGGCTGCATCATAGTATGTTTCCATTTTTGTAGAATTACGTTATCCGATGGAAATTCGAATAGAGTGAATTGATTTCCCGTGTTCTCACAGTTGGAAACTGCACAAACTTGCATCTTTCTCCTAATTCTCTCAATTTGTCAAACCTTTGAAAGTTATGTCATGTACGTCCGTGTACTGTTAGTTCCGTCAGTTCCCGCTATTTCCATCAATTTATTTGTGGTTATGTCTGATTGTCAGTGCTTGTCATAGTGTCCGTACTCTGATATACAAAAAACGTCAAAATCAGTAGTGTCAAGTACATTTAGGAACTCTAGCCCTCCCGACTCCCAAGCAGTGTTGTTCTTGTCATTACTTTTGTAATAGATCTATTACTATTTCACGAAAGTTGTTACGATTTGTCATGGATCTATTACTATTTGCTGTTAGCTCCAAAATATAATGTTTGATCTATTTCTGTGTGCAGCGAATGATTTTATATGTTCTGCTCTATATGAGTCTATGTCACAGTCTATGTTCTATATTCATGTCATCAATTCTGTGTCGCTTTTGCCTCATTCCTGCCATAAATCAATAAATGTCTAATCCGTGCGATAGTTCAGACTTTTCCAATCTATTACCTTTTGATTCAAATCTGTTATCTTTTTCCAAGGAAGTCTGGTACGAAAAAATTAGGAACAACACTGCTCCCGAGTCCCTAGATTGGTGACGGGAGTTCATTGTTGGTGACTTCTTCTAATAGTTCTAATTAAATTAGTATTGTTCTAAGTAATCTTTGTTGTATATTTGCGAGGTGTTTATGTTTATGTTTATTCCACAATAACTGTGATAATTGTTATGTGAATAGGAATCATATAATTTTACAGACAGAAAAATATTTTCGAGGTCAGCCACTGTTCATTCGAGTTCTTTGGAAATTCAGCTGCCAATGGTCTGCCAAGTTCACCCTGAAAATAATATCTGGTACGCCACTGGTCCTTCGGGTAACTTCGGAAATTTTGGCCGCTGGCCTTGGTTCACACCGGTGATATTACTGATATTCTAATGATTTATCACGATTTGGAGAAATGTCCTCATTAACAGATATAAAATCTCTACTAGGTACAAATTTGCCAAACAACATTTTGCCAGTACGCAAGTACAACCATGAACAATCTACAAATTACTTAAAATATGTATTAAAGAAAAACTTACCAAAAAGTGATAACAAGAACCTCACAAATGATTTTCATTGGCAATTCCTCCTTGATAGACATTCTTTCCAAAAGAAGAAAAGGTTGCAGAAGAAGAAATCATTCCTTTCACGAAAGCAACGTTCTGAGTTGAATCTACTGAAATTACCCAAGACAGGGTGGAGTTACAGTTCACTTCAAGCTATTAGGAGTGCATGGAAAGACTATATGAAAGAGAATCTAAATCTTCTGACTGCAGCACCAGATTGTGCTGAACAGGATTGGAATTCTTTTAGCACTATTGTTGGCAAATCTGAATTAGTTGGTGCTGAAATGAGTGTGATCAAATCAAAAGTGCCTAGTCTTGTAGGCATGAAAGGAACAGTTGTGTTGGAAAGTAAAATGACTTTCCAGATAGTTACTGAATCATCTAAACTCAAAAGTGAAGTAACTTTTTTTTTTCATTTTTTAATAATTATCATCAAGGGTTCATCCTTCTGCCAACACTGATCAATGAAAAAAACCTCTTCTTCAGCAAGTTCTCTAATAAACTTGTAATTATGTCACAAGAAGTACTTTTTTTGACATTTTTGTAGGTACAGGGTGTGCACACATATTTTATAATTTCCTGTTAGTTTATTATAGCAGCAATTTCAAAAATTTCAAAAGCTTCCCAGACTAATTCTTTTATGATATGTAACAAATAGTTTTTTTTTAATAGAACACCCAGTATATTATTCCATATTTTGTTAGGCAGTTTCCATACAAATTCAATGATACTGATGGGTTTTGGATGTATGATAAATCAACATTCATCATACAGGACGTGGAAAGAAATTCTGAATTGAGAAAACCTAATCACCAAACTGTGATTGAGGTCTATAAAAATAACAAGTTTCCATCATTCAAGTCTGAACCCCTTGATTGGGTGAAAGTATTGAAAAGGAATATTCTTAGATATATTTATGAACAGGACAAAATGTATGTATAAATAAAGAAATACATTGGGAATTCTCATTCTCCATGTGATGAAAATATTAATTCTTTCTGGGTTCATTCAACAGAAAACAACTACTTTCCTGAATATTGAATTACTGATGTGGATATGAAATCGGAAATGAGTTTTACTGGAGTTGAGTCATATAACCTATTTGTGGATATAATTCCCACATCACTGATAAGAATGATTTTTTTTGAAGTTCCAAGCTCATCAAGATCTGAGTTCATAAAAGTGTACTTCTCCTATACATTTCAATTATCATTTCAATACTGAACATGTTGGTAAATTATATTTTTATATCATAATACATCATATATTATTCTATTCTATTCCAGAGATAATGAGAATTCTCAATTTCAGAGGATTTTGATTTTCCATGCTCTCTTTTTGGATATTCAACAGATATAATTCAATGTTCGACGTGGCAAATAGCCAGGAAAGTAGTTGTTTTCTGTTCTGTTTCTGTCATTCTCAGAATGATATTATATGCATATCTTTATATGAAGGAGAATGCAAATTCTCTACTTCAGAAGATTTTGTTTTCAAATTCTTATCTTGTGTGTTCAATAGATGTAATTCAATGTTCGTCTTGGCATATAGCCAGGAAAGTAGTTGTTTTCTGTTGAATAAACCGAGAAAGAGTTTATATTTTCATCACATAGAGAATACGAATTCTCAATGTATTTTTTTATTTATATATCAATTTTTTCGTGTTCATAAATATATCTGAGAATATTCCTTTTTGATACTGATGGGTTTGATAGGACTATGCATTGCCTACTCTAACTGAAGCTACCTGCAGAAAGTGACGAGGAGGGCAGTGCTGGTTTCATATATTTCTTGTTCAACTACCTTTGATCAGAACTCATCATAATGGCAAGAACATTCACAGTGGCGCTAATGAATAAGGGTTCACATAATGAATTTCAATGCATCTTCTATTCTTCATCTGAACTTTAGCAAGAATTCTTGTGAAGAAGCAACTCAAATTGTATGAATTCAAGACGAAAATACATGCAAACAAATTGTGTCATCATGTGAACCCAACACCACTGTGTGAATTTTTGCAACTACTATAATTTCCATTGCAAGATAGCAAAGAAAGAAAGAAGTTATCCAAATTGGCTCTGATGCATTTCATTGCCCTTTAACTCCTTAATGAACCCTATCTGGTAACTAAGGACTAACCAGCCATAGATCCATGGCCTCATCAATGGCAGATTGAAGAAGTCAAGGTGAGTTGATACACGATACACTCTCACCAGCAGACAAATTTGGCCACCCTAAAATATTTCATTAAGTTTCCCTAAATATTTGTATTACCTACTGTTATTATGGGATTGAATTTGCAGAGGTGTTATTGATTGATTTCTTTAGCCAATTTGTGCACTCCCTATTATCAACAAGTTGCTCTTCAACCTGTGACCACTCATAGTTAAAATAATGAATTTTAAAGGTGGCAGTTTTTTATTGCCAGTGAATTTATACAGGGTGTTCGGAAAAGGTCTCGTTGGCTGATAGATTGATCCAAAATTATGTAAGTAATTCATACTTATAAAAATATTCCTAATGGGGTTATTGAACTTGAAAGTTAGAATAAATAAATTAATCTCATGGTTGCCCTGGTATTAAGTACAAACTTTTTTTATTGATGTTGAATAAATGGAGTTTTTGTTCAAAATAGTAGCCATGTATGTTTTCAAAATGTGATTTTCTCTAGAAGTACAAGATATCTATCTATCTATACCCTCTTTGTAAAAAAAATGAAGGAATTAAATGATGATAGGAAAATGTCGAAATTTGTCACCTGCAGGTTAAACAGAATAAAGTCATCCGCCCCTGTATAATGCAGATTCAGTGAATAGTTGTTTACAAATTTCATTGATGCCATGGCATTATTATGGCAACCCTTTGAAAGTTATAAGTGAAATTATTTCGATTTATTCTAACTCAAGGTCAGTTACGCGCTAAGGAAGCGTGATAAAATCTTTTTCATTTCATTTTTAGATATATGTTTACATAAAGTTTGTACCCAGGTAGGTACCTAGTAACATTATTTTGGCTCACTCTATGAGCCATATCATTTAAGACATATTCTTTCCGGCCGGACACCTTGTATATGAGAGAATATGTTTTGACAATTTGTAATACAAATACTGGATATTATTTTAATACCAGGCAAAACTTTGAAGAATGATATTTCAGAAATGTTTTTATATGTAATCTGTTGAAATTTTCCAGCAAATTATTATTGATACCTCATTTGAAACTCAACAAAATGACTTAATAAACGTGGAAAATATCGGAGCCGGACTATTTTTTCTTTTTTTTTAAGTCAATTGTTCAATTCTTGATTGTATTTTTCAGATACTTTATCGGATTCGAGCTTTCACTATCTCTATATCGGTGGAGAGAAATACATGAAAATTTATATTTTACAATACGCTCTCTTCATTTGAAATAATTTCAGCAATGCAGTGTTAGAACTTTAGGGCTCTATCCAGCAAAATTTTGGGGAATTTTAACTTTCACATAGACCTGCGCCAACTGGTGAGATTGAAAATGTTGTTAGCCCTTATTGTTGTGGTTTGTTTACTAGCACGAATAATGCAGACCTATGTTATATGTCTGTTGAAGTTTAATATTTATTGAATCCTTGCCTATGTATTAAGGGCGCCGTACATTATGCTATTTACCAGCAAGTTCGATGCAATGCAATTTTGAATCGAACAATGCGCATGCGTCTATGATATTTCACGGCAAGTTTCATGCAAGTTCCGTAATAGAACGAGTCCTATTTTTCCTGCAATTCAAGGCAAGTTTAGTGGAATGTTTAGTAATATTCATCGTAGCATCTTGATGAAATGCCAATTTTCTCCATAACGTGGCCTGAAACACCAAATAACCTCAAAAAGTACATTGAAGGCTCAAAAAACCTGAAAATAGTGAATATGAACAAGAAAATATGACAAAAATATCTCAATGTACGGCAACTTGCAATAAATTGACAAAATTGCGAGAAAATTGCATTGTCCCAAACTTGCCGAGAAATAGCAAAATGTACGGCACCCTTTATGTTCGCGACGATTTGATATTTATTTATTGTTATTATGGAGAAGTAATATAGATGAATTGAGTGTGAGAGCACAATTCATTAGCCATCTAGCCAATTGGCCTTTATAAGCCCTATATAAGCCTACGATTTGCCAAATCACCTACATTTGGTCCTACGAGCATTTGAGCCATCAAGAACGATTCGTAAGCGGAAAACAGTCAGAAGAAGAAATTGGAAAATTTTGAAATATATTTGACAAAAGTCAATACATTATTTTTTCAAATTTCAAAATAAGCAAGTTAATGTCAGCGAATTTGGAGGATTCAAGCAAAAATCCAGGACAGCCAAATCTAAAGCTATTTCGTCTAAGAAATCATATTTAGAAAGAAAAGCCAAGAAAGCCGAATTAGAAATGGAAACATAAAAACTGGAATTAGAAATACATAAATTGAAATTCAAACACCTGGAAATTGAAGAGGAAGCTTTGGTTGATCATTCACAAGAAGCAGATAGTACAGTCACAGACGTTGAAGATTATATTCAAGCTTGGGTGAAAAACTTGCCAGAATTTATACCAAGTAACATTGAATTAAAGTCAGAAGTGAGTCCCATAATGTAAGATGAGTTGAAAATTTCCAATGATAATAACTCTGGAGCAGCTCATATTAGGGAATACAACTTTGACTTTTTTTTCAAATTTTCTAACAATGTCTTGAAAGAACTCCTTATGAAATTGCCTGCGAGATTGAAACTACAATGGGGAAGTTAGATTAGTTCTAATGGAAATATGAACCATTTGAAGACCTCTTCTTTATGGTTGGAGAAAGTTGCATATGGAGCAAGCCTTGTTTCACGGCCGGAACTGAATTTTAAAAAAAGGATATATTCTACTAGTGCAGGAGAGATGGCTTTTACAACAACTGAAATATTTCAAAAATGCATATTTTGTGACTTAACAAACCACACGATAAATAAGTGCAAGAAATTTGAAGTAATGTCTACTGGAGAAAAATGGGAATGGATTAAATCCAGAAAAGTATGTTTTTCGTGTTTACGACCAAACCATATGATACAAATATGCAAAAAAAGAAGAGGGAATGCAGTCAAAATGGATGCAGGAAATATCACCATTATTCACTTCACGCAAATAGTCCGACGGAAGATGGGGAAAGAAGAAAGAATTGAGTTGCAGAAGAACAAAATACGTGGAGGACAAGACAGTGGAATGAACAGAGCCATAACATATCTGAGAGGAATCAACTAAATAAATCTCATTAACAAATAGATTTTGATGCAACAACAAAAACCTTTGGAGAAACCAGAGTTTTATTGAGGGTCACCCCAGTTATTTTATCATCTGCTGATAAATCAATGCATACTTATGCACTTTTTGATGAAACCTCAACTGTTACACTGGTGGATAAAATGGTAGCGCAAAATCTGGATTTACAAGATATCAGAAAGCCATTATCTATCAACTGGCCGAATAGTATGTTAAATCACTTCAATGAATCATAGGTAATGCCGTTACAAATCTCCGGTATAGCACCCCATACGCAAGGCTCGATCAGTTGAAAATTTGATGTTGCCATCACAAAGTATTGCCATAAAAGAAATTTCAAGAATATATCCTTGAAAAACGCTCCTCTGAAATCGATGAAAAATGCGAAACCTCTAATACTGATTGGACAAGATAATTGGCCATTATCCCTAGAAGTTTTATCCAGAGAGGATGGAATGAGCCAGTTCTGAAAAAAACCTGGTTAGACTGGGTCATTCATAGACGTGTTTCAACAGACGAAAATAACACTCGTGATGATTATTAATTTTTCATTAAAGAAAAAATCGAAAATGATGAAAATGAATCTCTACATAATCTGGTCAGAACGTATTTTGAAAGAGAATATGGATCTTCAAACCTTGAGCAACCCTATGAAATATTTGAAGAATTGAATGCAGAGGAAACCTTGGCGAATACCTCAAGAAGAATAGCCGGAAACAGATGGGAGACTGGTTTATTATGGAAAAAGGAATCCAATTTACCAGATAGTAAAATGCCCTTAGAAGACTGAAATATGTGGAAAAACAAATGAGCAAAGACGAGAAATTCAAAGAAGCTTACATATCTAAAAATAGAAGGTTATATAGATAGATAGATGAAATAATTCGTTTGTGATAAATGATTATGATAAAGCTATCGGTCAACGAAGCTTTTGCTTTATAAGATATGAACTTTATAATAAATCACCAAACCACCCGAAAAATGAGAAATCCAACAGACTTTTCCGAAACAAACTCAAAGAGTGGATTTATTTCAAGGATAGGAAGTATACTTTTCGTATGTTATTGATCCGATTTAGAAATAATGCCTACTCAAAATCTTATAGACAATGTTTATTCCTCGCTCATTTTCTTTCGAAAAATACGATCAAGGGAACAATTTTCCCCGATTTTCTTTGTCCACCATTTTTTCCGGAAAAATTGAATCACCCTGTATATTGTTCTAGGATCCATAAGCAACGACTGTGGCAAAGACAACAGAAGTAAACTATTCAGAAAAAATTTTCTACAGATAGTGAATCTTTGGTTCAGTTCAATATTTCTTTCATACACATAGTTTGAATAATTTTGTCAGGTTAGGTTCTGGTCTCGGGTTCAGATACAGAGTTATCCTTATCCATCGCAGAGGCCCTTTTTTTGACGATATTTTTGACCGAGAAAATCAGTTTAGATTTGCTCCTGGAAAATTGCTTATTTTGTCTGACATTGTTGTCAATTTGTAATATTTCAGTATTAAAAAGTAGATGTTGGCAGCTGATGAAATTCCTTTGGCACTATATCTTTAGCTTTAGGGTGAAACGTGTTCTAACTAACTAACATACCCTTTTATTTTCATTTTAGCTATTGTCAAGGACAGTTCAGTATTCTGTTTCTATCTGGATAATATGAAATTCACAGTTTATGGAAAGTATATTGCCACAAGACCTAGTGAGAGAAGTGTTAAAAAAAATAAAGGTCCAATGGTACCAGAAATATAATACATTCAAGGAATATTCAATCCCAAATTTGTAAAACTGTTTCAATTCCGAAATAAAATGCTTGATAATACTATGAATATTAAATTGTGAATCATTATGCGACCACTATAAGGGTATACGGGGAAGTGGATGGAAATGGATCAGTCAAATTAGTTTCTCCATGTAGCTGTGCAACCAACATCTCAAAAACGAATTGAGATGATGCTTGAAGTCGAGTTCACTTGTGAGTTGAAAGCGATCGAGGAGGAATGAGTCAGGAGTAAATGATCTGTTGATTTATTTACAGTATTTTGTTCATCGCGGACTATATAATATCTCACTAGTGATAGGTACTGATTACTGATGCCTGGACATTTGCGACCCTCCATGAAGAACTTTGCAAATTTCCGAATAGTTTAAAAAATATATTTTCCTACGACCACATAGGAAAGCAGCCCACTGTGTTGTTGCTCAGAAAGTACCTATCTCATATATCACCATAGTGCTATGTTCATCGAGATCATTTTTCTGTCGTAATTACCTATTAAACTATACATAACAGTTCAAACTCTTAATTTTACCCAGCGAGCACAAACATCCCTGGGATGTTTTGGGATGTTTTGAAAATGTTGGCATGAAGATGTTATTTTGAGACGTAATATATGCACTGACCAAAGAGGTCTTTGAAGGATATTGAAGTATTGTTTTTGTTCTTCTGTGGCATTTCTTTTGTTTGCCTACTGAGATGTATCCCTGGGATGTTTTGGGATGTTTTAGAAATGTAGGCATGAGGATGTTTTTTTGAGGCGTAATATGCACTTCCCAAAGAGGTCTTAGAAGGATATTGAAAGTATTGTTTTTGTTCTTTTGTGCCCTTTCTTTGTTTGCCCCACCACAACGTCTCATGCTTACGTCACAATACGATGAATTCTGATTTGTTTTCGATTTTGTTCTTCTTGTTCGCAATTGGCATTCGCGTTTGCAGCGTGTCAAGCTTACATCGAGAAGCAATATGATCCACAGTCTTAGAAGACTTATTTAGTTTGTAATAATGACCATCAGATGCAAGATGTGTTGTTCGGTGCCTCAGTGTAATCAATATATAAAAGTACGAATTTATCAATACACAGCTTCTCCGCTGTTGCAAAATTATGCATTGTGGAGAACATTTCAAAAATTGGGAAACCTATTTCCAATTATATGTCTGTGTGTAGTAAGCACAATTCAGAAACCGATTAAGAAGGTAATTTCATATCAAGAGAATATTTTTATGTTCAATCTATTTTTAATGCATTTTTTCATTCAAGGGAAATGGAATCCTAATGCAAAAGTTCATTTTGACAAAAGGCTTCAGGAAAGTACCTCGAAAATGTTTTTTTTTTTACAGCGATTTTTGTTGTGTCCATGAAAAGGCTTTAAAAAGAACTAGGGAGAAGGTAGTTTTGTGACATATCAAGGACATCTCGATAATTGCCGCCTGCGGCGGACATTGGCTGTTCTATAATAGTTCTATTCATGTGTGAACAGAACATCGCAGTGGAGGTTCAATGTCTCGAAATCTCGTACTTTTAACATCTCTGAGATGTTTTTGTGCTCGCTGGGTATATACCATCAAAGTCAGACACCATTTAGAATTCACCAAGGCCCTTTCTTTTGTACGAAAAGTGCAGCACATTCGCACACTTCGTGTGGTTTATACCTTATTTGAGCATTCTTTTGAAAAGTGCATTTCACACCAGTGTAGTTTATCTCCACCTGATCTTGGGCAGGTGTGAATTACACTCGAATTAAATAATTAATAAAATCGCGATAAATGACTCGAAATACATATGTGATTATTTTTTTATCAGATATAACACCTGTACTGGGAAATCAATTAAATCAAATACCACATTTTAAAATTAACTCTGTTCACTTTTGCACTTTTCCTCATCGATCAAATTTTCTTTATTCCTTTGAAATTCGTCGTTGTAGCTGCACGAAATATCAGCTGATTCATAGTGTAGTGCATTTTACACGACACTGAAAAGCAGACGAAAGAAAAAGAACCTTCCAGAGTACGTGGAAGAGAGAGCTGTTCGCTGGTTCGTTCATACATTCTAATCTACTGCGCATGTGCGCTTACATTAGGACAGGGTTACAATACACTGCACATAGCAATGCGAAAGTGGAAACGAACAGTGTGGCAATATAATTTATGGATGATTATAATCCTACTGAATTATTATATTCCTATTTCAATACTTACTATCATTGTAGATACATTCATTTTCGTTAGAGTTTAAATTTTGCCCCATGATAACTAATAATTGTTTAGGTTTCGGTATTTGCCATTTTGTCATAATCTGTGAGACATAACCTCATTTGTCATTGCTGACTACACCGGTGTGACTCTGTTGCGTGGTTACGAGGTGCGTGGTAGCTCTTGACCAAGCCCTATAAACAACGAGGGAAACTTCGAATTCAATGAAAAATATGATTTCCAAACCGTATCACTTTCAATTGCTATTCTTAGAAAATAAATGATGGTTTATTTACCGAATAATATGTTGGATTAATTTCTACGACATGGATTTAAGGTATATAACAACTTATATTAAAAACACTTAAACGTTTGAAATTTGTATTTGTGTTTTAAATTATATATTTATGGTCATAGGAAAAATAGTGCACATAACTCGTTGGGAAGTGTATTTCATGCACTCGTTACATTTCCGCACTCGCCGTCGTGCTGAATTTCACTCGAATAAAATATGTCACTATCCACACTAGTTGTGTTAATATACTATTGTATTTTTTATGAAAAACTTTTGTGGCTTTCCAATGAGTAGCGACTCGAAGGGGCAAAGGAAGCTGAGCCTCCTCAAGAATTCTATATCCAATATTCTGATATACTTGTATAAAATATAGATACACATCAACAGCTTATAACATTCGTTCTTTTTGGTAATCAGAACAAGTTATGGGAAATTGAAATACTAGGTCCTTCCGTTGTACCCGGAATTCTTCCAATGCCTGCATATCTCAAAAACAAATTATAGGTACAGACGAAATTAATTCATGTATAAAAAAATCCATGAGCCGCTGTGATTTTGTCATTATGACAGCGAAAAAAGTTTGTCCTAACTTTTCCAGCGACAAAAAACCATGACAATCAAAACGTGAACGAATCTATGATGGCATTTATGTAAATTTTTCTCAATCTCGCGTTGTCAGAAAAGTATTCAATATGTGTAATTTCGCGATTTGGAGTCTTAGAGTGTAGGAATTGAAAAAACCATCAACAATAATGTGATTTACGTATTCATTAAATTATCTTGCCGAATTACACTAGCATTTATTTTGGGTTAAAGAACACTTTACATTAATAATTCGAGTTTTGTTGCCTTCAGGGAATTTTCAACTAAAAAAACTGCCTGGAAAATTACTCGCTCTACGGACTCAAACGCAACTCTTCGTTTAATTTCCAGGCAACAAAATTCTCATTGGAAAGTCAAGTTTATTTTGATCAAGTGGAAAAAAATACAATTATTGGTTTAATTTGTGGAAAAATTTTATGAAAAAAACTGTTCCATTTAAATACCCTAAATTTTGGTAAGACATTTTCAGGACACATATTCGAACTTTCTTCACAAGACAGCTTTGTCTTCAAGCGATTCAATATACTTACTTGCCACTAAATCGCTTTGAAGAAAAAATTGGTACACAAAAAAACGCAACTACGCCACACAAACTTTACGATTTGACTGCACTGTTGAATGATCACGACAGAACCGTAGTAACGAATAATTGAATGTTCATTTGTAAAATGGTTTTATTTTGATGAGTTCCATATCGTGTGATGCGACACCTTGGAAGAAAAATATGAAATTAATATCTCAAAATTAATATTTCTATTACTTTTTATCACTCAAAGAAATTATCGAGATATCCATTCAAAAATAATGATTTCAAAGATGTCAGTTTATAAAAAGAATTTTTTATTGTTAACAAAAATCGACTTGGGTTGTATTTATCTATTGAGTATAGTAATCATCATTCAACATAGTTTTGAACGTTTTCTAGATTTTTTGTAGATATGGTATTCATACTGCAATTTGGCCCAAATACCCTTACACATATTCAGTAACCTCTGATCTATTACAGTAGATTGTTTAGCATCACAGAATTCTCTCTGGATAATGTATTTAGCCAATCTGAATTTCTTTTTCTGAATCAAACTGAGACTGAAGTATAATCGACATCGTGCTGTGATGTTTGGATCACCCAACCTGAGTCCAATTTGTAACTGATGGATAGAAATTTTACCTGCGATTTCAGCACATTTTGTAAAGTAGTCACCTGAAAAAAAAAATTATAATTTTCATCATTATGGGTGGCGTGCTAGATCTGTCAGATGACCGACCCTGGAGGTAAAACATTGAAACACAACCTACTTTTCTTATTTGTTTATGACGGATTGAAATAGATTTTCACAATTATTTTGGCATACGAATCTTGTTTTTCGACTATTCATTAATTCAAGTATGCCATCACATTGTGCTGTTGTACAATGCACAATAAATGCAGCGAGAGACTAAGGAATCTGATTTTTTTTCAGATAGGTATAGGTACATTGTGATCTAAAAGTACTTTAGTCACATATAGTTTTCATTTTAGAATTTTGTCATTTCTCATTGAAATTCCTTCTGCAATAGGAGCTATAATAGATATACTCTTGAAGATTCTAAAAGAAGGTGAGAATATGGCAAATTGGAATTTAAAGTCGAGCTATTCCAAGAAATTCTTCAAAAATTGATAGTTTGAAAATCAATGTATTCAGTACTTTAGGAAAGCACAGTCTGGCTAGGGGTTGTCAGCACCACCAGAACGGTCTGGCTAATGAGGAAACGTCTTCTGAGTGTTACCCAAGTAACATGTATAAAATTCAGCTCTCATTCTTTAACGAATTTTAAGTTACAATTCATCAAGGTTCTAATATTATCCAGAATATAATATAAAAATTACCCTTCATAGTGTTACGATTTTACTCTAGGTCCGTTATAATTTAACACTCGGTAGAACACTTAAAACGATTTATTCTGAACACTACTATACAATAATAACAATACTCGTACTAAACACTTCCGATTCACAACACTTCTTCGATCGTTATTATAACGCTTCCAAATAAAGACTTCACTTCCTGTCCCTAACAACATATATTTATATTACCTAATAAAACGTCTAGATTCCACTCGAAATATCGTGAACAGGTCGATAATCTTCTCGAGTCATCTCAATAGCCGTCGAATCACCTAATTACTATTCCAAGAAATATGGCTTGTTTACTTTCCGCAGGTAGCTGGGATCGATTGCCAGGGTCGTAACATTTACCCCCTTCTTCAAATTTGATCGTCCCGATCAAAAACAGAACTCTCCTCACCATGATAGCGCTTCAGTCTTTCAAGATGAACGACTTTCATCTTTGTCCTAGGGCTGCGTTGGATTCTGTAGACCACATCGTTGATCCTTTTCAACACCGTATACGGTCCTTCCCAAGATGGTGTTAATTTGGGTGATACGCCTTTCTTCCGTCGAGGATTATACAGCCAAACTCGATCTCCTTCGAAGAATCCCTCTGAATTGGCTTTGAGATCGTACCGTGCCTTCATTTTGTCACTTGCTAATTTCAATCTCTTCCGAGCAGTCTCATGAATTTTCATCAAGCCATTCCGGAGCTCATCTGCGTAGTCTTGTACTTCCTTTTCTTCAACACTTGGTGAACCGAACACCAAGTCACAAGGTAAGCGGAGTTCTCTTCCAAAGACTATACTAGCTGGAGTTAGCTTCGTTGAATCATGGACAGCTGCTCTATACGCCATCAGGAATAAGGGAAGATGCCTGTCCCAGTCCCTCTGATGCTCTTCGACTACTTTGGAAAGATGTTCTTCCATAGTTCGGTTGAATCTTTCGACCATGCCATCGGATTGTGGATGTAGTGGAGTTGTTCTGGTCTTACTGATTCCCATTAGATCACAGACCTTTTTGAATAAGTTCGACTCGAAATTTCTCTCTTGATCAGAATGTAACTCCATTGGTACTCCGAACCGTGAAAACATGTTGTCTACCAATATCCTGGCAACTGTGGAGGCTTCTTGATTTGGCATGCCGTATGCTTCTACCCACTTACTGAAGTAGTCCATAGCAACCAAGATGTATTTATTTCCATCATCGGTCAAAGGGAATGGTCCGGATACATCGATGGCGATCCTTTCAAACGGAGCACCCACATTGTATTGTTTCATTCCAGCTCTTGATCTCGTTCTGGGACTTTTGCTGGCTTCGCATACAGGACATCTTCTACACCAACTTTCCACGTCGTCACGACATTGAACCCAGTAAAATCTTTCTCGAATTTTACTCAATGTCTTGTTAACTCCAAAATGTCCACCAGATTTTCCGCCATGGACTTCTTCCAGAACTTCATTAACTCTGATGTGGGGCACAACCAGCTGAGAAATTGTTGATCTACCATCAGCTGATTCCCAAACTCGCTTCAATAATCCATTCTCCACAACTAGTGAGTCCCATTGTGCCCACATCGCCTTGAAAACAGGTCCTCTATCCGAGATATCCTTCCATGTCGGTCTTTCTGTTCCTTCTTTCTTTCCAACGTAGAAAATCAGCGATATTCGGATCGTTCTCCTGATCTCGTCTCATGTGTGCTGCTGTCCACTTATCATCGGTCACAAGTCTGGTTTTTCTAACATCAGCGGCTCCTTCTCGATGTTCAATGCGCAGACAATGCTTACAGGTTTCCGAACAAGGTCTTCTGGACATGGCATCTTCATTCTGGTGTAGTTTTGCTGGGCGATGCTTAATCTTGAAGTGATACTGGTTCAGCTTTTCCAGCCATCTTGCTATTTGACCTTCAGGGTTCTTCATCTCCATCAGCCACCCCAAAGCTGCATGATCCGTCGTAATGAGAAATTCTCTTCCGTATAAATATTTGTGGAAATGGTCAACAGCCTTAACAATTGCCAGCAGTTCTTTCCTGGTAACACAATAATTCCTTTCTGGTTTGGCCATCACTTTGCTGTAGTATTCTATAACCTTTTCTTGACCATCCTGTACTTGTGATAGCACGGCTCCAATTCCGATGTTACTCGCGTCTGTGTCCAAAATAAACAAGCCTCTCTCTTGTGGGAACCCCAAAATAGGACTTGAACAGAGGCCCGCCTTCAATTTCTTGAAGGATTTCTCACATTCAACAGACTAGTTGAAGTTGACTCGATCTTCTGTCAATCTATGGAGTGGCGCCGCAATATCAGCAAATCCTTCCACAAAACGACGGTAGTAAGTGCACAATCCCAAGAAACTTTTTACTTCATGTTTGTCCTTCGGTCTTGGCCAGTCTCGAATGGCTTGAATCTTCGTCTCGTCAGTTTGTATTCCTTCTGACGTTACCGTGTGGCCCAAGAAATCTACTCGTTTCTGGAATAGTGAACATTTCTTCAGGTTCAGTTTGAGGTTGGTATTCCTGAACCGCTGAAACACTTTCCGTAGGTTCTTCAGGTGTTCCTCGAAATTCTTTCCCATGACCAAAACATCGTCCAGATATACCAGGCAAGTTTTCCAAGTGAGCCCACGCAGTACCAATTCCATCAGTCTCTCAAAAGTTGCTGGAGCATTACATAGTCCAAAAGGCATCACAGTAAACTGGTACAGTCCATTACCAGTCGTAAAAGCAGTCTTCTCCTTATCTTCTTCGTGAATGCCCACTTGCCAATATCCGCTCTTCAAGTCCAGTGTCGAAAACCATCGGGAGCCAGCCAATGTAGTCAAAGTGTCATCAATCCTTGGTAACGGGTAGCTATCCTTCTTGGTGACGTCATTGAGCTTCCTATAATCCACACAGAATCTTGTGGATCCATCCTTCTTGGACACTAATACAACCGGTGCAGACCAAGGGCTGGATGATTCTTCAATTACCCCATCCTTCATCATTTTGTCAACCAGCTGTTCCACCTCCTGTTGCTTAGCAAACGGCATTCTTCTTGGTGGTTGCCGAATTGGGTGAGCTTTACCAGTATCTATTCTGTGCTTGACCAAGTTCGTCCGCCCTGTTGATGTTGATTCAAAGATATCACTTTCGTCTGCTATGAATTTCTTGGCAGCTTTATATTCCGTTGGTGATAAGTGGTCCAAGGAGGTTTCCAGAACTCTCAATGCACTGTCATCTCGTTCCCTCCATCTCTGCTCGTTAGTCTCATCACATTTTGCTACCCAACTGACTGGTTCACAAGCTCCGATGATGTCTCCTTCCCTTACTGTTATGGTGGTAGGTAACACATTTGCTACCCTCACAGGAATGTCTCGTTCGGTGGTCACAAAAGCTCGGGCAAGTAACAGCTTCCTCACATGACTGTACTAATCCAACGCAGCACCCAGGGTCCTTCTCTAATCGCGCATGGATGATCTTTTCAGTGAATCCAGGAATTCTCACAGTCTTCGCAAGTCGTAGCCTCACTGACGTCTCCCTCTCGGCCGGTGTCGTTAGTAAAAACTCTTCTTGTCCAAATTTCATGGTCTTCTAATCACTGTCGAATGAAAACCCGTAGTCGCTTATCAGATCCATGCCGAGGATAAACTCATCTTCGATATCTGCGACGTATACCATGTTCACTATATGGAGTCTTCCAAGCGTCAACTCGATATCAGCCATCCCTCGTATAGGTGCATTTTCTCCAGTGACCGTACGAAGAACAAAGTTGGAAGTGGTTGGTTTTATACTTCCAGGCCGGAGAATGTCACTGCGTACCAGGGAAACTGAAGCACCGGTGTCTATGGTGCAGGTTACATCCATTTGGTTGATTTTTCCTTTGATGGTCAGGCTATCAGTTGTTCTTCTTATCCTTTTGATGTTTATGACCCTGGGGGCTTCGTTATTGCTAGCCAGCACGCGCCCCGATACGCTGGCTAGTTCTAGTTTTCCTGGCATCTATCTGAGGACTCACTAGATGACCTAGTCCTCGCAGGTGAGTACGACCGTAATGGCGTCCTTGCAGGTGAAGAAGATCGTGGTGGTACTCTCACCTTACAGTCCCTTATTAGGTGTCCAGTTCTGCCACAGCGATATCAGGATCTGTTTCGCTGGTTGCTTGACCCACTCTTAATTTCTTTGATCGAGTCCTTCAGTTCTTCAAACATTTTTCCTAACATTTTTGCCAATGGGTCCACGTGTTCGGAAGGCTCCTCTATGGACACAGCTCTCACTTTTGGCCTAGAGGTGTTGAAGGCCGCTTCTACCTCCAGAGATCTTACAAGGGCTTCACCGCTCCTCTTAAAGTGTGTAAGCCTCAGAGTCTTCTGTATTTCTGAGTCTCTCAGCCCGTCGATGAATACCTGCACCGCCAGTTGTTCTTTGAAGTTCTCTGGTGCCTCTGGGTACGCTAATTGAGTCAGTCTTCTCACATCTGCTTCGAACTCCTGTAGGCTCTCTCCAGACTTTTGCACACGATTTTTCATCTGAGCCCGGTAAAGCTGTTCTCGATGTTGGTCTCCATACCTGAGTTCTAGCGCAGCCACTAAATCTCCGAAGTGGTTTTGTTGTTCCACTGGGATCGACTGTAACATCCCCAAAGCTGGTCCTCTCAGAGCTACAATGAGTGCAGTAGCTTTTTCCTCGTCACTCCACCCATTTGCACTTGCTGCAGCCTCAAATTGTCGGCGATACATAGACCAAGGCGACTGTCCATCAAAAGTTGGTGGTTTCACGGAAGAACCCGATGTGGCAACCCTGTCACGACGATCTTGACTTCGTAGCGAGGCGATCTGATTCGCTACATCTCTTTTGATTGTATCGAACATGGAATCTATTCTTGAAACTTCCTGGTTAAGCTTGTCGTCAATTTTGGTGAAATCTGTCTTCAACTCATCTATTTGCACATCAGTTTTATGCAGAATTTGTTTGAAGAAGATTTTTTGATGTTCTCGTTCTTTTTCTTGATGCTCTAGAATTTTCTGTAACTCTTCTTGACGACGTTGCTCTTCTTCTAATTTTTCTCCATGACGACGTTTCTCTTCTTCTAATTTTTCCTCTTGACGACGTTTCTCCTCTTGTTTTTCTTTCTGTCGTCGTTCCCCTTGTTCCGCGAACTGATTTTGCATAAATTTCAAAATGTCTTCCATTGCGTCGTATGACGTACTCCTTGTATTCACCATACGTCTTCAAATGTCCTCGAAAAATCCACACTTCTGACACCACTGTTACGATTTTACTCTGAGTCCGTAATAATTTAACACTCGGTAGAACACTTAAAACGATTTATTCTGAACACTACTATACAATAATAACAATACTCGTACTAAACACTTCCGATTCACAACACTTCTTCGATCGTTATTATAACGCTTCCAAATAAAGACTTCATTTCCTGTCCCTAACAACATCTATTTATATTACCTAATAAAACGTCTAGATTCCACTCGAAATATCGTGAACAGGTCGATAATCTTCTCGAGTCATCTCAATAGCCGTCGAATCACCTAATTACTATTCCAAGAAATATGGCTTGTTTACTTTCCGCAGGTAGCTGGGATCAATTGCCAGGGTCGTAACAATAGTATAAAGAAAGTAAGTTGATATTGTCAGCACTTTTGCTCCCTGTTACCTACCAAGGCATCATGACCTTAACTTCATATTCGCCCATCGTTCCTAGCTGTGTTGAGAGCAAGCACTAAGAAACTTTTAGGCTATTATAAAATAACGAAGTTCTGGTGTTCATGGGATCTAGGCTATAAGGGAATGACCACGGGCAAATGAATTAGGCCCATCCTCACCTCATGCTTGGGCTAGGAGGACGCGGGGGCCCTCGAGTGAGAACTATAGCCGAGACTATAGCGTTGGGATGAGTGCGGATTCCAGCGGACTCTTAAGTGGAACTGTGGGCTCAGACGACGGGCCCGTGCACGCTCAGGCACTGAGCTAGTAGTGGTTCCAGCACTGGATCTGATGGCACTGAAACAGGGCGCACACGGAGACCCATATGCGAAGACCCTGGCGGGGAGCTCCACCGCGCTTCTAGAATGAGCCGGGGACGGGAACATCGGAGACCCTCATGAATGCAAAGATATCGCCGTGACCAGTTCGTTAAAGGTGTGAGACGCAACAAGGGTAACACAATGGATCCTACTAAGCCGTCTAAGTGAATCGAGGGCTCGCCTGATTCCAAAATACAAAAAGCCAGTGCCCAAACTAAGTATCTTTGTACTAAGGTAAGTTTGCTTGAATCGAATGAAGACATCGATGATCGCTTACGCAGCGGTGGAGAGATGGCCCTAGGACCAGGCTGGCAACAAACAGAAAGGTCCCAGCTGACTAACTCCAAAGCCATTTCAGGTAAGGTTTGGGCTAGATGGAGAAACAATCCAAATGACCTGCCTAACAACTAAATTAAGCTGAACAGTTGTAGGGAAACGGGCGACTCGTAGGCCATTTCAGAATATGAAGTGCCACCCATGACTGTCCAGTTCTTTCAATGGTCCAGGACAACCCAATAGTGCCTTGCTTTAACTACTTACATCCCTTCACAACCCATTTTCCTTCCGGGGAAAAAGGAAGTGACCGGGACGAACGTAAGGGTAAGCCTTAGTAAATTCATTGCATTACCTCGATAGGAACGACAACTTCGATAGTATACCAGGGACACCTGTTCTCAGTTTCGCTTAACTGACCGCAGTATGTTTGTGTACAAAACCACTGTAATGAACTGTGAAAAAACTAGGCTTAGTAAATTCAGAGAATCTTTTTGGCTCTGGCTCTCCGTCTTTAGTAGGAGTTTGAATTTAATTATTAATCTGGAGGAAAAAAAAAAGCGATTTCTTAGGTTGAAGATGATACATATGCAGTGTACAAATACAAACCTGAAAGGAGATGATAGGTAAGAACATTTGGAACATATTTAACCATATTTACTATTACACAGTGTTACGCATTTCACAATATTGTTTTTCCGAATTTTTCCAAATTTGATGAGTAGGTTTATATAGGTTATAATAAAAGTCTTGTCAATCATTGTATCTGATTCTTATGACATTAAAAACGTATTTCATTGATATTGAACATGTAATGGGATCTTGATGTGAAAAAAATAGTTAATAGTATTACAGTACTTTGCTTCGTAAATTCTAATAAGACACACATTTTTTTAGAACATGTAGATTCCATTATGTGTTTCATATCGATGATTTCAGAAAAAAAAATATAGAATCAGACAAAATGTTTGACAAAACTTTCATCAAAAATTATGTGGACCTACTCACCAAAAAACGCTGGGAGAAACGTGAGGAAAAACGATGATTTTGGAAAAGTGTAAAACTTTGTGTAATAGTATGCAGTGTGGCCAAGATAGGGTTGCACAGCATGGGGATCTCAGAAATGGGATGAAATACAAATTTGGATAAATGGGAAAAAAGATGCACATACAGAGGGTTATCAACATCCACCTGAGGTTTTTTGAAAATTTGATTTAGGTCAAATTTTATGTTTTCAGAAATTTTGAAGCATTCTCAATATTTAATCACAGATTTTTTGGGCATACACATGAACAGTTTCTTTTATTATCTCCATAAGAGCCAGATATGAAAATTATTTGAGAGATAAAAGGAGTATTCACAGTTTTGATCACTAAATAAGAAACAAAAAAAGCAGTGGCATGATTTAAAATTTTCTTGGAATTTTCATAACCATATCAGCTATTTTTTTTGCTGCCGCTGAGCCTTTAAAATGATCTGATTACATTAAAAGATGTATTTCATGACCAAAGACATACCTACTGAGTTTCAAGAATATCAGAATGAGGATATAAATCAGAATAACTACTTACAAACAAATCATTCCATTCAGTGGAAACATGGGACCAAAGCATTTTTGGCAATTTGGCATAAATCTCTCACACTGTAAGTAGGATACTAGGGGAAACGCCTTAAGGTAAAAGTGAAATGTTCATCAGCAGTTTACATTTTTCACTAGGTACAGTCACATTAAAAAAAAGCTTACAATTAACGTCACCCTACTCTGCATAAAACGGGCTATTGGGAATGATTGTTTACACGATATTGTTTACCAAATGTTGACAGTAAAGTTGTCATAGGTTCTCAAAAACACAAAGTGTTGGCTGAGCCAGTTTAACACAACTAGAACTTGTTGGATTGTGAAATAATCAGTTCACTCCTGCTCTAAATAACATCCTGTGAATAGGAATTGTTTTGTTAGTTTTTGACTTATTATAATTAATGACATTAGTGTCAGAAGAAATAAAATATACTTGTCATCATTGAAAAGTAGTTCTCAAAAGAACTGTGTACTTCTGCTGATTTACTAGAGAACTAGGATCCAGCAATCCCCTCTTTTTAATACTTGTACCATCGCTTGTACCCTATTTTATTGAATACAACTGTACTCTACATGAATGACTATAGGTATGTTGATTTTAGTTGGGTTTTGGTACTCACCTAATGCTGAAAAGCCACCACCCAATGTGGATAGCCATGAGAAAGTATGATCCAATTCACTACGTTCTCTAACCATCTCATATATACGTTCATTCCATTTATAGTCAATCATGTCATAACTTGTATGCATCAACATGAGAGACAAACATTTATTATGGTTGTTGAACCAGTGATATAAAAAATGAATTCTATAATAGTGGCTAAGAAACAGTTCCTTGATCAAATAGTGGTAAAAAGCACCATCAATTTGTATATCATCAGAGGTCCCATCATACTGAACTTGTACTTTCTTTCTATGGATAACCTGTTTTGGAGTAACCACATATTCATCATGAATTGTGTCTCCATAAACCATACACAAACATAATCTCATTTGGTCTAAGATTCAACGATTTCCAGAACCTACATACAACAGATTATTTGTTATTTCAGATCATTTTTTACCAGTTTTGGCAGTTTTATCACTTTTACCAGTTTTCAGTTTTTAGAGAGGTTATATTATGGTTTTATTTTATTTTTTTATTTATAGGTATGTTCGTAAACTCTCACACTACATACACTTTTACACTGAAAGTATTACACTGTGTTCGTAAAACATAAGGCCCTTTCTTTTGTACGAATAGTGCAGCACATTCGTACACCTCGTGTAATGTACAAAGTATTTGAGTTTTCTTTTGAAACACCAGTGTTGAGTGTAGTTTATCTCCACTTGGTCTTGGGTAGAGTTCAAAACAGCAGTGTCAAGTACATTTAGGAACTCTAGGTAGAGTCACTGGATGGTATTAGTAGATAAGAGTTCGGACACAGCCGAGTTTCTGCTAGAAATTCAATAGGTCGCGTGCACGAAGACCGACCCTGGAGGCAAAATATTGAAACACAACCTCATTCTTCTGTGATTTTGACATGGTTTCTTGAGGGGCACACATAATATTTGTTAGGTTACCTTTGATAAGCATAGCACTGGCCATCCCTGCCACATCCACAATATGATGAACAGTTTCACCAAACAAAATTATGAAATTTTTTCTGTTTCCAACTCGGATTCCAAGGAAAACGATCCCACTAATTCTGGTTTTATATGACAAATCTTGACAAAATACAATGTTTGCCCCTCAGCAACCTGTCAAATGACGTAATTCTGGAATGATTAATTGACTTCATCAAACGTCATCTCATCTTGACAACTCCACCTATGATACCGAGGGTACAAATAAATACAGACCCGACACTGGAAAATAACTGAACTTCAACACTTTCCCTTATTTTTTATTGTCGCAGTCAACTAGACCAATGACGGCTTAATATCAAGTAAGCTGCCGACCATGTCGGCAGCTTACTTGATATTTACTATTTAGCCGTCATTGACTAGACCAAGTCCCTGGCGCATAACGTCAAGACGAGGACGAGGCAAGGGCTTCGTGAATTGTCAGTTGCTGTTCAGTGCTGATATGTTCGACCGTCAGCATTCCATTCTTGATTCGATCTCTGATAAATAGATACTTTCGCTGAATATGCTTAGTACGAAAGTGAAATTCAGGATTTTCGGCTAATCTCTTGGCTGATTCATTGTCTATACGAAGAACGGGAGTCGCAGACAACCCTGTCAACTCTTTAAATAGGCGGTCTCTTTCAACCCGAGGTTAGCCGCAACAATCTCTGCTTCGCCCGTAGAGTCACTAACCACTTCTTGATGACGACTCAACCAAGTGATGACTGCATCAGCAAACTTGACGACTACTCCACTAGTGGAGCGCATTGTGTCTGGACAGCCAGCAAAATCAGTGTCGCTGTAGCATTCCAGAAGATGCGTCTTTGGGTTGGAGCGATATATTAACTTCAAGTTAATGGTTCCCGCAAGGTAGCGGATTACGCGTTTCACTCGTATCATCAGCTGTTGGGTTTTCCTGCCGACGTGACAAAACGCTCACGCTGAAAGCAATATCAAAACGAGTGCCACGGGCCACGTAAAGTAAGGCACCAACAGCCGATCGGTAAGGAGAATTCGGTACTTTCCCTGGCTTGTTAGCGTTGAGTTTCTCCATAAGAGTTATAGAACTGGATTGCAGTCTTCCATGTTGAATCGATCTATAATCGATTGACTGATTACGATGTCATCACCATTCCGTTCGATCTCGAGTCCAAGGAAATATGACATCTCTTTGGCTACAATCTTGAATCGTGATCGCAGCTGTTCGATGAATGAGTCTAATTCGAAATGACTCGTCGCTGCAACCAAATCATCATCTACTTATAGTACAACGATGATTTTTCCTGTAGGTTTTTCGCGAATATAAACACACGGATCTTCGAGACTCCGCTGAAACTCCAAATTTGTCATGAAGTCGTCGAATTTCTTATTCCAGCAGCACGGAGCCTGCTTCAGTCCATACAGGCTTCGTTTGAGACGACAAACTCGATTAGTTCCATCAGAATACCCCTCAGGCTGCTTCATAAAGATTTCCTCATCCACGTCACCATACAGAAATGCCGTGGAGACATCGAATTGCCTGAGAACCATTTTCTTCACGGCTGCAATAGACAGCAGAGAACGTATTACTTCCAATCGAGCTACTGGACTGAAAGTGTCTGCGTAGTCTTTCCCGGGTCGTTGAGCGCATCCTTCGATGACTAATCTCGCGCGATACTTGTCAGTGCTTCCGTCAGGATTACGCTTGATACGAAAAACCCACTCATGTTGATAGCTCTCTTTTCCGAAGGCAAATCCATCAACTCCCATGCATCGTTGTCATGCATTGATTTGATTTCCGTGTCCATGGCTAGTTTCCATTCGTTCCTGTTTTCTTTTTGAAGAGCTTCATCGAAGGTCAATGGCTCATCTTCAGTGAAAAACACTTCTTCACTATCTTGTGTATCATAGTCTTTGAACCAACCAGGATGCTTTCTCTCCCTAGACGACTTCCTAGGTGTTTGTAACTGGACGTTGATTTCGGTATTCGACTCTGCTGACTCTTCTTAGCTGGAATCCTTTTCAGAACGATCTGTGACAAGATTCGGCTCGTCGATTGTCTCTTCTTCGGTTACGCGGCTGTCTACTTTTCCAGCACTATGGTCTTCATTGATTGGACAGGATATTCGTTCATCACAGACCACGATATCTCCCTTCTCAGGAATGTAGACCCTATAATGTTCATCCTCGTCGTATCCAACCAGATGGCCAACCAAAGCCTTTGGATCCATTTTTCGTCTCTTCTGCACCAGAATGTGTACGTAGCATTTCGAGCTCACAATACGCATATGTTTGATTCTTGGCTTCAGACCAAACCAGAGTTCGAATAGCGTCTTTTCCGCAACTGAAGATTTTCCCACACGATTGAGAATATAGCCAGCGGTAACGACGAGCTCAGCCCAGATTGCTGCAGGAAAATCGATATCAGAATTTGAATATTTGAAGGTATACGAGCCATCTCCACGATTGTTCGATTTTCTCGTTCAACAGTTCCATTCTGTTCAGGTGTGTACGGTGCCGTCAGTCGCTGGTTCACTCCATATTCTTGAAGAATTCCACGTACTTCGTTGTTGTCGAACTCTCGACCATTGTCGCTGAGGAACTCTTTTACGTGGATACCAAGAGTACGAGCTTTGGCCAGTACCTCACGGAGAGCTTCCTTGACGGCAGATTTCTCTCGTGCAACGAAACAGTAACGGTACCTTGAATAATGGTCCTCGATAATGATCAAGTAACGACGACCATTGAAAGATTGATCGAATGGCCCGCAAACATCACCGGATAACAGGTCAGGTGCAGAAGCTTGATTTCGCGTACCGAATGGTAATTGATGTGCCTTGCCGAATTGACATGGTCCAGAAAGCCTATCGTCGATAGGCAGTTTCATTCCCAATTCAGAATTAAACTTCGCTCGGACGTAGCGCTTGTCCATATTAGGGTCGCTTGATGGAAATTCTGACTCTGCTGAAAAGCTGTGTTCCGAAATATAAAATCAAAAATACAGTGCTGTAATTCGGAACACGTTTTCATCAGTAATCAGCAGCAGTTGATCAGCTGGTGAAATTTGTCAGTTGTCATTGATCTGGCAGATGCTCCTGCTTGAGCTGAATAAATAACAGGCATTTTCTGATATCAAAATGATATTATTGATGTATTATTGATAAACCAAGACTTTATGTTTGAAAAACAACGGAAATGAATGTGTCATTCCTTTTCCCTCAAAAATAATGACAGTTCACTGAAGCCACACTACCTTTTGATAGTCAGCAATTTCAGCAGAATGTTGAGTCGAAATATTTGGAATGAATAGTATATCTGCTCACGAGTATCTGTCACTTTCAGTCAATTTTTTTTATTTCGGAATAAAAATTCAGCAGTTTCAGTACTGACCAGTTGAATTCGGAATATAGCCATAACAGGGTACGGACAGATCATAGCTGCATTCTTTTTTAATGATCTAGAGACTTTAGTTTTGTCTACTGGCATCCCTGACATTGCTGTCACGTCACATCCAAGGGCGCTACAGAAAATCATTCAAAATTATAATAATAGGTATGTACAGGGAATTTACTTGTTGAGGAATATCATATGGCGAACGAGTATTGTAATTATGATCCGACTCTATTCAAAATTGGAAGGCATCGGAGTTTTCCGGGGTTGGAGATAATTATTTTTTCGTCAAACTTGGAAAATTCAAGTTTATTTGCAAATTCTGGAGGAGACATTGCTTGGAAGTCTACGAATATCACTGAAGGGTATGTGCAGCAATCTCTCACAAAATAGCAAAATATTTCTAACCGAATTGTGGGTCACTGAAGTCAATGAAACTGATTTTAATCAGCCGAGTACGAATTCTGTATAATAATGTTTTTTATGAAAATATCACGAAAACTGCATTGGCTCCAGATTTCATTTCTAGTGTTATAACCACTGCTCAAAACTGCACTTTTCACATTAGTTTATTTAATTATTACTCTACCACAAATTGAAAATATGTAGGATGCAAGAGTGAAAATAACGTGCCTATGAGTTATACTGTATAACTACTTCTTTGTTACTTTCATCAATATATTATTTGAAAATGACTTTTTATTCAAGGGAGTATAAAGTATATTATAGTCTTTATTCTCCGGCACATTTTATGTATTACTTTTTATCAGCCTGCTACTTTTCGTCCTAGACGAAGTTTTATACATAGTGTGTGATATTAGTCACTCCATGAATTCTTCTCCGAGTTGGATTTCCGGAAATATATTCAGCACGCATGACATGAGTACAGTAGTTTGAATACCCACATCTAGGTTTTCACTATTTCTCAATCATAAGGCTACTCAGCTCATTCAGCTCATAGATAAACTACTGCTCAGCTTGAAATCAGAATTCATACAGTCAATTCAGTCAACCCTGGTATACAGTGTATGAATAGTCTCTTTTGACTTCAACAAACGTCATCTCGTCATGACAACTCCACCTATGATACCGAGGGTACAAATAAATACAGATCTGACACTGAAAAATAACTGAACTTCAACAAATCAATCATTGTCGTAGATGGAAAATAGAAATAAGGTATAAACATCCACTTCAGGGTGCGTTTTTCATTCCAACATTTTATCATGCGCATGAATCGAAGAAACCATCAAACTGTTGCAAAATTCCGCTGGAATGTTGATGGACATCCATCAAACTGTTGTAATAAAATGCGCACTTTTAAATCGCATTTCGAGAATCCAGCAGTTTGGAGGAGATTGACATGACAGTTGACACATTTTAGTGTTGTTTTTTGTTTTGATTTGATAGAAAACAATTAATATTGAGGATTTTTGGGATTTTTGAGGTTCTTGAGAGATTTTAGAAGAAAGAGTCAGTGTTAATCAATAAAGTCGAATTAGCCTTTTCTGATTCTCAAGATACATGATGACTGACACACAACAAAATCCGTGTTTCCATCAATGTGTTGTATAAACCATTGTTCAATCCTTCCAGCATAAATTCCAACAGAACAATTGGTGACGTCACGACAAAAAACCGCATCTATCAGTGCGCACTTTCTTTGATGGAATGAAAAACACGCCCTATATAGCGATACACTTTTCGCAGAACAATAGTTATAAAAATGAAAAGAATTCATGTAACAACATTATAATATGACAAAATAGACACATATGTAAATACTTATAGCTAGTTCCTTATTGTATATTAAACTGTACCCGAGTGATGAAGTTTAAAACCTTCTGCTGCATTCACTTTTCACTGATAATTTTTTAATTTGGTCGGTATTGAAAACGACATTCAATGATCACATTGCAATTTACTTGATTTCCTCAGTTCCGTTCTCAAATTTTCAATTAGATTACGTAGTTTTGTAATCAATTCCTCTTTCTCAAACTAATACCATCCAGTGACTCTAATGCTCAGTAGTGTGTTGAAAGCCAAAATATTGGATGTAGTGTGTTGGAACTGTCCTCAGAAAATCGTGTGAAAAGCCCTTGACATGACCTTGACATGCCAATGACTGATTGATGAGTAATGATGACTGACGAGTGACGGATGACTGACAAACAGATGAATAATTCCAAAATAACGTTCCTTCCCGTAATTTAGAATTTGAATTTGGGAATTCAGAAATATTGGATATCCTTACCTTATCCTCACATTCTGTTGGTCTATTAATCTCCATAGTTTTTGTCTCGTCGTGTAACCAAAGACCTGGTGATGAAATCGAATACAAATGGTACCACGAGAAGATCTTTAGGATATGAGAATACCTCACAAATATTTCTGAACAAGAAGTATGATTATAACAAACAGTACTGCAGCATATATTTGGCTCGATTGCAGGAAATGGAAGTTTTACTAATGGAGAGAGTCAGTAGTAAATGGGGTGACAAATATCCAATTGGCAAGTTACATAAATTGTCTGATGAAAATACAGAGAAATGTGTAGTAATAGGAACATTATTCAAGGATCAGAAATTGAAACCATCTATATTGAAACAACTGACAGAGCCTAGTGTAATTGTGAATACCATCCATTTTACTGATGGAAGTGATAAGTTGTTTATAGAAGATGAAATACAGAGATTTGAATTACTAGGAAGCATTGATTTGAAATATGTAGTGACTGGAATCTCATGTGCTTTATTAGGGACCAGCATGGGGAAAGGAAAATTCATGGTCAATGATTATCTCTTTCCTGGATATAGAAATCAGGTTGAAAGGCCTATATTCAATGACAGTGCTTTTGTTATATTCTTAAGTGGAATTGATTTCATACATCATGAGCATTACATGCCTAATCTTCAGTTATTATCATGTTGGATTAGTGGTATGCTGGGAGATGTTGACATTGTATCAAAAGTTACTAGAATTATAATTGCTGGTAATAGCATCAAAAGTAGTTCTGAAAAACACAATCCTGAAATATCTATCATAACTCGTAGAACTGAATCAACAGAAACAATAGAAGCTGTAGCTTCTTTTGATAAATTCTTGTCCCAACTCTGCCAGCTTGTTGATATAGATTTGATGCCAGGAGAAAATGATCCATCAAATCACATTTTACCACAGAGAGAAATGCATCACTGTATGTTTCCCCTGTCAACAATATTCAAATCTTTACATTGTGTCACAAATCCTTATTCTTTCTCATTGGATGGGCTGAAAATATTAGGAACATCTGGCCAACCTGTTAGAGATATCATGAGATACTCTGAAATAACTGAATCAATAGATGCCATGGAGTCATGCTTTAAGTGGAGTCATCTTGCACCTACAGCTCCAGATACTTTGGGGTGTTTTCCTTGTTATGATAAAGATCCATTTATTATTGAAGAGTGTCCTCATGTGTTTTTCAGTGGAAACCAAAAGGAATTCTCCACAAAGATGATATTAGGTGAAGAGGGACAGAAAGTACGTTTGATAAGCATTCCTGAATTTTCCAAAACATTTGAGGCAGCAATTCTCGATTTGAAATCATTGGAGTGTAGTAGGATTGTATTTGACAAATCCTGAAGTTGCAAAGGGCAAAAATAGAGTACCTACTTAACATTTTGAGTGCTGTAATACGTATTATATCAGTTGTCTATTTTTTTATGAAGCTTAGTATATTTTATACTACATCTATTAGTTTTTCTTATGACAGAGGTATACTACCTACTTATACCTACCTACCTTCCTATGTCAGATAGTTATAGAATGGTCCTTCATAAAGATATTTGCTTTCAAATATCTAGATTCAGGATTGAAACATAAAACTGTTTCCATAATTCACTGATTTCTTGGAATTTGTATGACAATTTATGATAATTCTTTATAGCTCTAAGAAATTACATTTTTATAGCAAGAAGTCAAGGGTCCAATATAGGACAAACTATAAAACAGTAAAACTGGAGCTAAGGTACTAACGACTCTTAAGAGAAAAAAGTGGTACATACAAAAATGTAATATAACATATAATTGAAATCATTTTAACAGGAATCATTCAATCACTTGTTCATTATAAATGAACTATGAAAAATTATGTTAGAAAGAGTACCAATCTACTGTAGACTGAAACATTTCCATCAGATATTGTTTTCCGCCTTTTAATACCTAGAGCGCTCTGACTTGAAAGACCATCAATTGTAGGCCTTTTTTTTTTTCGAGATTCAGGTTGCTTTTGGGCTTCTGGTTATAGAGGAGATCAAAGAAAATGAAGTACTGTTAGCACTGTATAGTTTCCGATCATCACTGCATTTCAATTTTCAATAATAGTAGGGAAGCCCTAGCGGGGATTTCGGGATACCTGGGCCCTTCATATGGTGTCGAAAGTTTAGGGCAGCAGATCAGATTAGTAAAAAAAATCGATCGTCAGAAATCGAGCGCGTCAGATGAGAAGACATGGTGAAAAGTGTGCATTTCAATAATCTGACGATTTGAATGTGACATAAGGAAATGGGAGAGCCACAAAATTGCAAAAAAATCGTCACGTGTACAGGGTGATTCACCATAAATGTTCCCACCTCTAGCTCAGTTATTTTTGAACCGATTTCAAAATTTTAGATATAATCTGAAATGATTATCGATAGAGTTCATTTCCGCTACATCAGAAAATACAAGGTGCTCGGAACAAACGATCTACAGTGTACTATTTGATTTTTTCATTATATTTTCAAATTCTCCCTGAAAAGCTGATTTCATCAATGCATCACACAGGGTCTAGTGAAAATGATTACAGAGATATAGGGTGTTCAAAATCGAGATTTTTCAACTTCAGTTTTTTTTGTGACGAACCTATTCATTATCGGTCATGTCCGTATTTCAACTTTTGATTTACTATCTATACTGACATTTGATAATTGGAACAGATACAGGGTGATCAGAATTCTGAATCTTGAACTACACTGTATATGTTCCAATTAAATGTCAGTAGATAGTAGATCAAAAGTTGAGATAGGGACATTGAAGCCGTTTTGACCAATAATGAATAGTTTCGACACAAAAAAATACTCAAGTTGAAAAATCTCGATTTTGAACACCCTATATCTTTGTGATCATTCCCGCTAAACCCCAAGTGTGATACATTGATGAAATCAGCCCTTTAGGGACAACCTAAAAATACAATGAAATACAGGGTGTTCCATTCGAAAAAATCAAGTAGTACTGTGTAGATCGTTATTTGTTCCGAGCACCCTGTATTTTCTGATGCAATAGTTTCGGTTTCAAAGCTTACTTGATTTATTTTGATGCCATCACACACAAATTTTGGTTCTGGACCACAAAAATTGTAATTAACGAAAAACAGTAAGAGATAACATTTACTGTATATTTATATATTTGTGATCGCAAAAGATCACAGATCTCGAAAAAAAACATAAAAAACAGTGTGTTCCATTTAAAAAAATTGATTTGTGGTTTGCCACGCTCTTAGGAATCACCCTGTATAACCTCTGATGAATGCCTTAGAAAGGTCTCATTGCGGCATTAAATTTCCGCATATTATTTTTCTTCTAAGTGAAAGTATAACGAAAATATGGGGGTGGGCCTTCTCGATGGATAACCCTGTACAACGAGTATTAACTGAGATAATGAGTTATTTTCGTTTTCAACATTTTTTCTTCCCCCTTAGACGACATGAAAACTATCGATTCACCACCTCCCTATCAAATTTGACTCAGGCTCTCACCCCTCTTCAGTCGTTCTATGAAATGCGTTCAAGTTCCATCTGAAATCGGGTGAAATTGTTGAACACATTTTCGGCGATACATTTTTCTCGGTGTATTTTGTGGATGTGGCTAACTTCACTCCCGTGACGTAGGGACGTCAAATCTGTTCTGGTGGCAGCGCTATCAGCTTTCAATTATAGTCCGTCAGGGGTTGTTCGGAGGTATTTGGCAGGTTAGACATTTATACACCGCTTAGTGCGACGATTTCGATTTTATTACAATATTTCCATTTACTTACCTACTTTTGTATCTTCCATCATGAGTGGTAATGAATGCAGTTAATTTCTACGAATTTTGAGGCAAAGGAAAGTGGCATGAATAACAAATCTAAAGTCTTGTCCCGTAGGAGATGAGCGGGGGAGTAAGGAATTGTTTTAAGGCAATTTTTTCAAGTTGTACTTGGATAATTCGGAAATCGCGACCTCTAGTGAAAAAAATCTAGATATACAAAATAGAACATAAAATGTGCTATGAAAAGGTTGTTTTCATTCATCATCTACATTTAAGTTTTTGATATTCTACTGGACGTGGAGGATGATGTGAGTGCCGAAAAGCTTAAATTCCACGATCCATGGCATTGCATCGTTACTCGATATGGAAATGATGATAATTGAAATGGACACAATCAAGATGCTTGTTTTTAATGAGTGATGTATTTTATCTGTGAGTATTCACGTCAAGCAGCAATTTCATACCATCAAACTTTATTTTTGATAGTTTTCGATTTTTTTCATTCCCTGTATCCCAGAAACTATTCATTGTAGACCAACAATGAATAATCTTATTCATAGGAATTTTCATTTCGTTAAATTTTTAATATCTAAATTTTTACGTTAGAGGCCGCAATTTTCATGGAATTATCCCCTACAACTCTACAAAATATGCGACTACACGATTTATTTCCCCTTTGTTCTGTTCCTTTACTGAACTAAAAGTCCAATAATCTTCTAATAACTTCAAAAACCATTCATTTAACTTATTCTTAGGAATGCAAGAATCATTATTGAATAAGTAAACTTTTAATCCAAAATAGATGATCCATTTAATTTAACACTTGCTCAACTGATGATAGCAAATTGAAATAATGAATTATTTATTGCTCACAAACTCACCGATGAAAAAGAACACTTTCGAAATTATTTGATGTAGAATTCTTACACCAAATAACAAAGCACCGCATTTCTCCGGAAACAAAAAGCAAATGCGCCACTTGATATTTCAAAGCCGAAGCCTATGAGCCAAATGGATACTCGCTTGATTTCGATACCACATCACAGTTATGATCGACAGCTTGAGGGTTCCTGCGCATTGAGCAAAAGCGTTTTCAGACAAGCAATTTACTCTACATTTTCGGCTTGCTAAGATATGAGCACTAGCTGTCTTAACAATGTTTATGTCAATGGATGTCCCAGATATCTGCTGGCTTAAAAGCTCTGAGACACCCTGTATACTAACATTCATTGAGGCTTTGCTTTCACAAAAAAAAGATTTTTTTATATTAAAGGCCAAGAGGGTCTACTTTGACAAAACAGTATGAATTTTTCCCAGTGAAGATGAAGTGTCATCAAGAAAACAAGGACATACAAAAAATAGTTCAATAAACTATAAATATTTATTATTAAATCATCTGTGCTTCATATATACAATGTACAATAATAAAATCTCCATTTTACAATTAATTATTAATATTTATGTAAAGTTCGTACCTCTTTGATAAACCAAGGTAAAATTTAGTTTGTTTCAATTGATGCTATAGCCATTTGAAAGTCATTTTATGGGGTCGAACATTTCTGTAATTCCCGTCGACTTTCCTTCATTACGAGACTTCAAAAGCAAGAAAAGGGAAGTATTTATTAAATCTTTGAGCAATTTTGTTTTTCAAAATGGAAAGTAGAACTTCACGTATCTCAATCATTGAACAATCAGAAAATTAAAATACACAAAACCATAAACAATATGCACATCATAATTAGTATTATATAAAAGATAAAACATAACAAATTCATTTTTGCTTTTGGGTGTATGATAAATTGACATTCATCATACAGGGCGTGGAAATGAATTCTGAATTGAAACTCTATCACGAATCTGCGATTAGAGGTCTATAAAAATCACAAGTTTCTGTTGAATATTCAGAATGATGTGTGTATATAGGTACATATTTTTTGTCTGAAGGAGAATGCAAATTCTCAATTTCAGAAATTTTTATATTTTATTTTCAAACTCTTATCGTGTGTGTTCAATAGATATAATTCAATGTTCGTCGTGGCATATAGCCAGGAAAGTAGTTGTTTTCTATTGAATTAACTGAAGAAGAGTAAATATTCTCATCACATAGAGAATGCGAATTCTCAATGTATTGCTTTATATAAATATATATCCATTTTTTTTTATGTTCATGATTTATCTGAGAATATTCCTTTTCAATAACAAATTCACTTTGTATGACTATTAAAGCAGAGTATTTAAAACTGAAGGAACAGGTCCTATTTATACATTGTTTTCTAAGGATAATCTACAAAGAAAATATTTAAAAAGGCACCTCTTAGCTGCTACTTTACATGGTAATATACAAAATAAAATTGATTTTAAGTAAGAATCCAGGCACTTTTCAGAAAAGTTCATACAAAATATGAATTCCAGATTTTATGTTTCTCAAATCTTTTCGTCAAGTATTTGAATTATTTCTTGGTGGAAAATATAATGTCAATAAAAATTATTTATTCATTATTTTCCAATATTTTTTTTACCAAATCGAACGATCATAGTAATCAATTCCGGACCAGGCGATTTTTCTAATGAACAGTCCTTTATCTCTCACAGGATCAATAATTCCTATAGTTTTTGTTTTTTTTTTCTGAAAGCTGCAGTGAAAAATATGTTCATAGATACCACCGCCTCTGGTATGATCTTAATGGGTCATTCGACATATCATTTTTTATATTGATTTTGAAGGCTCCAACGTGAATTTATAAAAATTTCAAGTCGTTGACACAAAAAATGAGAAAAAATGGAGAAGAAGACTATTCTAGCCTATCGTTTATTGAGGTTAGGATTGTCTTGATCCCCATTTTTTCTCATTTTCAACCAACCAATTCTCTATACTGAGGTTTGGTAAGAGTAATGGGTATAACCAGCGAAGAGACATTATACAAAAAGGTGCAAGCAAAAAAATGCGCTTAACTTTCATGATATTGAGCACATTCCGATATTCCCGATCAGTTTCGCGAGTCATTATTGCAAGTAACTCTGTTAAGAGGCTAACAGTTTACAGTTGACCACTGGTGCAGAAATGTTAGGTTAAGCGTTTGAATGATTACGTATGAGTCGATAAAAATGATACATCATTATTTTCAAATACTTTGGGAAAATGTATGAATTCGACTGGAAGATCAGTAGACGCTGAAACTGATTTCATCATTGCTAGTTTTTATTCCACTCATCTATTCTACTTCCCGTGCTTCAAGTACAACTAAGCTCACTCAAATCGTCTACGTGAACTCCAGCGAATTCATACAGAACGCTGGCGATCTAACGTTAGCGAAATATTTTAGGCGGAAGCCCAACTGCCCGCCAAGCACGCCAATAGACGAATCAAGGCCATCCCTCGGCATTTCTCAACTTCAAAGGGTTTTTGAAGCTTGCACCTTGTATAATGTCTCTTAGCTCGTATGGCGAACAACCAACAATATGAGAAAAGCTCTTTCATATTATGCTCAGTTAAAATTTCCGGTAAAACCGGAGAAACCTTTGGTTATTTCAAGATGAACAATGAATCATGAATGAAATGTTTCCAATATAGAAATCTAAAGCCCCAATTTGGATATCAAGAAAGATAAAGGGCTGTTTTCCTTTCAAAAATTTTGGCATTACATTCCCACGTTCAAATTTCATACTCTATCAACAAATTAGGGAGTCAAGTGGTGTAACATACGAATAAAAATGTGTAGTTCACAGTAGCGTCGGTAGCGATTTCTATTATTACTTCCCATCCTGAATGATGGTAGAATCAATCACCTACTAAATTACTTGTGCACTATGCTGAAGTTCACAATATTCAACTGATCGAAAAAAAATAAGGATATTTTTGTACGTAAACGACATAGATATAGCTATTTTTTCTGGAAAAATGTCTTCAAAGCGAAAAGACAATATCCTCAACTTTTTTCGATCAGTTTATATATTCTTCAAACAATAATTAGGGTTATAATGAAGTGGAAAACCAGCAAGTTTTGTTATGAAAATGGAACGACACAAGGAAACTACAATCACTAAATAAATTGTAGGGTTAACTCAATTTGGATGCTAAGTATCTTCTGCATCAAGTATTGAATAGGTTAGCTACCGCCATATTTTATTAATCGACATTATCAAATGAAAGAATCGGCCAAGACAATCAGTGTTTCAATTTGAAAAAACAAAAACAGAATATACAATCTTCTTATTACGATATTTCGTGGGTTACACCATTTAACCTAGTAATTAGTAGAAATACAATTCCATATTTTCGAGATAAAAACGGTGGGTAATTCAAGTCAGCACACTGAAACGTACTCTAGAAAAACTGAAATCCAAGATATTTTGGGTAATCTGAAAACAGAATCATTTACTCAAACATTGTATACACGTCTGGCAAGAATAATTTTCCTATAGTGAAACCGTTCTAGGGAATGGATACGCATATAGATTCATGGGTATTTAACAAACAGAGGAAAAAAGCGTCGTTTCCCCACCTACTTGAGTATGGCACGTGTGGCATACGATAATCCCTTCATGCGTACGGAAAAGTCGCTTTTTTCTCTCTTCGTTAAAATGTCCATGCACAGGGTTTCTTTATAGGAAAATTATTCTTGCCAGACTTGTATAGACTAGGCTATATTAGTCTTTATACAATGACTATACTATATTAGTCTATATACAATGAGTGATATTTTATTTACAGTGGATGAGTTGTAACACAGCGTAACAGTTAAAATAACAAAACTTATTTGCCAACTCTTGATTAGAATAACAATATGACGTCCTTAACAAAAAATTGAGTAGGGTATGGAACATTTTTTTAAATAAATTAACGGAATGTTCGAAAACAATCAAACTTGGAAGATGTGTCGGAAAAAAATCCCGAACAATTCCATAAATGTGCAACCTTTTGTGTTTGGACATGTTCATTTATAATTATTCATCTGTAGTAATTTTTTTGGGCTCTATATAATAACAAGTTTCAAATTTGGATTGCAAATGCTCAGATATATGTTGTGTGAAAATTTGCGACCTACTACGCAATCCGGAACCTTATGCAATTAATAAACAAAGAAAGGCTAGGAAAGGTCAGTCCAAATACTTATCCAGCCATTTTACTGCAGTTATCAATCTTTGACAAAATTTTCATCCAAAACAAAATGGCAGATGATAATGTTTGAAACATCATACCAGGATCTTTTCAACTAGATAGGCGTGCTCTCGTGTAATCCTCAACTCTTTATTGGCAAGATAAGTTCTATATCCAGAAAACTCTTGAATATCTATATACAGTGTGACCCACTTCTAATGGAAACACCACTGTATCTTACGTAATCGTTGGGTAAGGATCCTGAAATTTGCTGGAGCTAGAGACATACCAAAAATGCACTCCATGACCAAGTGGGGTCATCTTCAGTGATATACACTGCTCGCCAACAGCCATGGAACCACCCCAATAAGGAATACGCATGATTTTTTGTTTAATCGAAATTATATTCCTTCTTCCTTATAATAACATTGGATATCATTCATTAATCTCAAATTTGCTTGTGACTCTAAAAAATTTCATTTAAATGAGGCTAAATATGAAGTCACAGGAAAACGGGTTAGTGGCCATCACTAATATTATGACGTCATAGTATTAGGCCGAACAGCCATAGACTAGCGCGACAGAATGACAAGATTCAGATTGAAAAAAAAAGAAGAAGAAGAGGTAGAAGACAACAGTTTTAAACGCCAGAAATTTGAAATTTGAAAATGGAAAATGATAATGTTTATACCAAATACTGTTTAGTGCCGCAATGCCTTTCATCAACAAAAGTATCACCAGGAAAAATATTCCTTTCATTGCCAGTGGGATCGAGTGATGAAAATAAAGAGAAAAGAAAATTATGGTTGCAAGCCATAAATAGAAATGATTTATTCGAGAAAACCAGAGGATTTGTTTGTGAAGACAATTTCGAAGTGAGTATACGTTCAAGTATGTCCTAGTGAAACCCATTATATATCAATGATTATGTTCCTCATGTTATTAGGAGAATAATATAATATGTGATTTCGTTTTCAGCTTGAAGAAGATATGGAAAACTATATGAGATATAAATTGATAGGTGGTAATATATATATGAAACAACATGCAAAAAGAAGTCCTGTTTGATCATTCTTATTGTAGATATTTGCTTATTATTCAGTTATTATTATTCAGAATATTGATATCATATTATTGAGATAGATTATAGAAACTACAAGCTCAGATAATCATAACCTCACTTTCTCTTCTTATATTATTTTCAATCTTTCGGACATGAATGTTTGACATGACAAATAAAAACAGCCACATCCAGTCGGAAATCATCGCTGCAGTTCGGCTGTTGGTCGGAAAGTTGCAAATATTATGATTTTCAATCAGAAATTATTAAATATTCGGTGATTAATAATGTTTTTCGGGTGTATAATTCGACATCTATACATATGAGTAATGGAACAAAAATATATTCCAGTGTAAAATTTTCACACGCGTATACCCTATTTCCGTAAAATGATATTAGGAGTCGAAATAGGTCGAGAATCACTTAGGATTCGGAATCAGGGCGTTCTATTCACTAGCTATTCGAATTTTTCCTGAAAAATTTCCAGTTCTTAAAATTTCATTTTTGTCTCACTTCTTATGGAAGCACCCCCGTATCTCACGTACACTGAGAGAAACTGGATATTAAAAATATCTACCAGCTCTGATTGTAATAACCTTTATAAGGAAATCTCCTATTCCTGATCATTTTATTATTACAACAGTATTCTCTCCATTCTGTAATTATAAAAATCGATTTCTTAAATCATTTGTAATACCCTTGAATGGACATTTGCTACCATCATAACGCAGGTGTGTTATGACATTATGAGAATTTTATAAATTCCAGTCTATTCAGATTTCTTATTGACATAGCTCGTTTTGTGAATTATGCTCATTGGCGAATTCAGATAATGTTTGTCCCAATAATCATAGCTGTTTGGGTTTCTAGCATTGTACGTTGACGAATAACTCTAGCAATTCACATGTATGACGGTTAATAGGCAATCATTCGACAATCGTAATTCGGCTCAGTTTGCTCTAGTGTTTCATTAGTATTGTGGCTGACAAAGATACAGATCGCGTTCATTTCTCTGTTCTCGGTCATGGGTGCCCGTGTTCAATTATTGTTCAATGGTTTCGATCGTCCGAATCGAAAGAGCCGTGTCTTGTTGGTGAATGTCTGTGATGTAGTAAAGTTTTGTTTTAGTGCTGGCTGTGAACCGATCTGTGGAATACACCGTGCATTGCATTATTGCAATGAAAAAAGTATTCTCCATACCCACTTTTCAAGGCCTAAAATTGGTTTATTTCAAAAACAAAATGATCGATGAGATTCTGAATCAAAATATCTGGGTTTCTGTGAGGGAAGTTTTATTGACAATTCTCATCATAACTCCGAAGGAAGGGTAAATATAAGTATTCAACTTCTCATTTCTCAATAAATTCGTCAGTAATGCATATAGATGATATTTCTCCGAACAAATCAATGAGTAATGTCAAAAAACTTCCACATCAGATACCCCAATATTTCAATTCAGAGACTAAACGTATTTTTTTGTTTTTTTGAAAACAATAACTTTGGATCATGAAAAGTGATAGTGTGGATAGGATATTTATTTTCATTGCAGTAATTCAAAGCACGGTTTCATAATGCATACCATCGAATAATGTTGATAACCTTATTACCACTGTTTGATGAATATACTAGAATAGAAAAATATTGGGATAACTGTTGAAAATGAGCTACATTACAATAGCATGTCGAAATGTCAGGTTTCATGCAGATATCAGATAACTATAATAAAATGAGACGAATTACTGCGTTACCTCAAGATGGTTGTGCCAGTAATAAAAACATGCTGTTTTATGTCGATAGTCTAATACTAATAACCACTGTAGAGTGGAGAGTTACTGCAACATTTTATGGGAATAATTCCTATTCGACATTCTGTGTTATCATAGAAACTAGAACAAGTAGTAGTTATTCAGCAGCGGTGTTTTTATACAAGTTTGCAAATTGAATAAGCTGTCATAACTACAAGTCACCTGAAAATTCACTTCATCTATGGTAGCACATGAACACATCTGTCTCCTATTTATTGCAGATATCGTAATAACGGTTATCAGATTTCCAATTATGATAACTCAAGTTTTCTCTCAGTGTAATTATTGAGTTAGAGTTCTGAAATTTCCAGGACGAAGGGAAAGTCCAAAGATTAAGTCAATTACGTGAGATACGGTGGTGCTTCCGTAAAAAGTGCGACAAAATTTAGTTTTTCAGAACTGAAAATTTTCCAGGAAAAATATGAATAGTTAGTGAATTGGACGTCCTGATGCCGAATCTGAAGTGATTTCTGACCTATTTTGACTCCTAATATCATTTTCCGGAAATTGGGGTGGTTCCATGGCTGTTGGCGAGCAGTGTATAATACTGAACATGACCCCACTTGATCATAGAGTGCATTTTTGGTATATCTCTCGCTCCCAGCAAATTTCAGTATCCTAACCCAACGATTACGTGAGATACAAGGGTGTTTCCATTAGAAGTGGGTCACACTGTATATCTATCTATTCGTAACAAGAACAATGTTTATTAATTTTTTTTTTCAAAATGGCTTCCTTTCGACATTTTTCTGAGCAGAGGATGCCAATAGAGAGTTGAAGATTACAAGAGAGCACGTTGATAGCCATGTAGTCGAAAGGATCCAGCTATGATATTACAATAGTTATTTATACACCAAGGTAGTGAAGAAGATCATCATCACCCAGGGATCAAAATTTTATCCAGAGACTTCAATCGAGGGGTATAATATATTTCAATCATTATAGTTCTGTGTAACTGAAAAGTGAACCTATGTCACTATGAACGCCTTCTTTTCAATTCTAATTAAAATCTAGTCACCATGACAGCATATTATGACAAGTAGTTAGATGAATGCCTACTAGATTCGATTGCCATTTTTGTGAATATCGCATCAGAACAGTGAGTTCGAGTTAACACTTTACGCCTTCAAAAGGAGTAAATAATGGTAGGTTCTATAGCTAGTGGTGGAAAAACATTATTATACGCCATTTCGTTTTGGATGAATATTGTTGTATGAAATCTAGATTCGCATAGAGAATTGAAAGACGTTTCAAATGAGCTACCATTTGACACTCCATTCAATTTCAAAATTTCTTATAAATTGGCGCTCAGGCGCCATTTTGAAAGATGCCCAACTTATTTTCAATGGGAATAAAAATGTAGCACTTGAACTACCATTGGAGTGAAACAAATATACACAGCCATTCAAAAGTCAACTAAGGGAGGGGTTTATAGACACAATGGATGTGCTTCAAACTCTTCAGAAGAAAAACGTGTACAAACAATTCTCATCGAAGTTGAATTATATTGCACAGATGATTTCTTATCAACACCAGTAACTCAAGATTGAATGGCTGTAAAATGTTTCGTTTCCCCAATTCGTTCTTATGATGATGAAAAATAGGACATTTAGCTTGAATTTGCATGCCATCGTAATTCTAGATATCTATGAATGATAGATCATTTCATATTGAAGTTTATTTTTCAATCTCTAACAGGACGTCGAGAAAATGAAAGTCGGTTGAAACACGGCCAAACTAGAATCGCAGTAAAAATGTCCGGTTTCGAATAAAATTCCAATAAGTTTCGAAAAAGTATTAATCTACCGAGTTACACGATATGGAGTACCACCCTCTGTAACTTTCATTTTTGACAGTAGAAGAAAATTAGAAAAGCAGAAGACTTACAGTGTTTTTTTCTCCTTCTCGAAACGTTCTCACTATCTGGGAAGATATGCAGGGAGCAACAAAAAGTGTATGAATTTTAAATGGACATAATATATATTTCCACGCCATTTGAAAGACCTTCCGAAGAGCTTTCCAAAAATACCACACTCAATATATTTATCTACTCACTGCGGGAGGAAAAAAATTACCTGCCGTGGGAGGTAAAATTATTTTGCTTTAGCTTGATTCCTTGGTAGAGATATACGTATTAGATCTATGTTACATCACTACTATTCGCGATGGAAAATAAGGGTACATTTGTTTTTTGTTTGTGATTATTGGTCAATCCTTCGAAACAAACCGCTCAGAAGTGTTCAAGTTGTTGCCGTCAGGTGGAGCAACAACTTGAACACTATCTATCGCGAATAAAACAAATAACAACTTCATTTTTGAATTCAAATGATCTCAATCACTTCCTCATACTCCAAACTTCCTCAGTCGAAACTTTAAATGAAATGCAATGGGGGCTAACATTTTCAGTCTCACCAGTTGGCCCAACTAAAACGTTAAGTCAATGTCAAAAATCACAAAATTTTGCCGGATAGCCCTAGAGGTTATGGCCTGTTGTATAGAGGGTATTCGAAAAAATGAAAGAATTATGTGTAATATTTGAATAAATAGAAAACCTCAAGTTATGGAAAGACTTGAGCAGACTTACGTTTTTTTACTCTCAATGTAGGACTTTACGACAAATCCTTACATTGACGGAGAAGATATCGTAGGAAGAGGCCAAATGACAAGAAAAGAAGAAGTATATTAATCAGTTCTACCAACTCTGACCTCATGTTTCAGTGGCCCGATCTGGTGGACAATAAATAATGTATAAATTATATATATAATATATATAAATTCAGGTATATTCGCTATAAAGCTACCTATGACATTCAATTCTCATTGGCGGTGATTACTGAAAATCAATATTCTAATCATTGAAAGGCCTACTCCCGAAAATCATTCAAAATCGATCGAACTTTGATAGTTTTGAACGCCCATATTTTCAGAAATACAAAAGATTAACATTGGAAAGCTCTTCAAAAGTTTTATTAATGGCGAAGAAATATATAAGGTGATTCATTCAAAATTCATACACTTTTTGCTGCTTACTGTATATTTTTGCAGATAGTGAAAATGTATCTGTTGATTCCAGAAACAAATAAAAATCCTGTCAAAAATAAAAGAGTTATAGGGGGTGGTACTTTATAACGTGCCCCTTTCTGTGAAAAATTAACTGACTTGAAATTTGGTCACCCAGTCTATTCAATTATGCTATTGATTAGGTTTTCTCAATTCAGAATTTCTTTCATCGTCCTGTATGATGAATATTAATTTATCAAACATCCAAAAATTATGCTGTTGATATCTAATACATACAGGGTCACACCAAAGTGTATTTGAACTTTGAATGAGACCACCCAGTATACTGTTTTATAATTGAGTAGAGCTTATTACTACAAGTTCAACAATACTGGGTTTGATAGGATTTTTTTAAATGAGTATGAAGATATGATCAAATATCTGGTCAAAGAACTGTCAGCGAAAGAAATATTCACCTGAATTGCGGAAATTCTGAAGGGAATGGCGATTTTATTTCTTTAGTTTTCCAAAGGAAATATTAACCATTCCCTTAAGGAAGGAGTATATGGGACGGCCTGGATGGAAAATGTATTTGAAGACAAGCAAAATTTGTGGGTAAGTACATACATTGAAATTCCCTTCTTATAGCAGCATATTGGAATGAAACTATATTTTAGGCCCATTTTCAAACAGAAGATTTATGAGATCCGTTGTTACATTGATTTACAAAACAGACTATTGAAAAAAAATCTAATATTATCATCACACGAAATGCAAAACAAAATCATCATAAAGTGGAATTTATTGCAAAACTACGTAATGAAATTGAAAATTTGAGAACGAAACTGAGGAGATCAAGTAAATTGTAACATGATATAATATCATTGAATGGCGTTTTCAATATCGATCAAATTCAAAATTTATCAGTAAAAAGTGAAAGCAGCAAAAGGTGGAAAATCAAAACAATCTTCATGTTTTAAACTTTATCACTTGGGTAGTTTTACATACAATAAGGAACTAGCTATGAGTATATCCATATGTGTCTATTTTGTCACATTAAAATGTTATTACATGAATTCTTTTCATTTTTGTAACTATTCTGCGAAAAGTGTATTGCTATATAAATTGAAGTGGGTGTTTATACCCTATTTCTATTTTCCATCTGCAGCAAAATGGACGACAAATTGAACAGTTGGAGCTCTAATAATTTCCTCTTCATTCGATTACAGACGTGTGGTTTTCATAAAATATGTATAATTATTACTCATTCTTAGTTAAATCGTTTTATTTTTGGCCATATCTTCTTAGTCTTTCAAAAAATTTCAACAAACCCAATATTGTTGAATTTGTAATAATGAATGAGAAAAAATATATCGGGTGTCTCTATTCAAATAAGACCATTCGGGTGGACTATGGTGTGACCCTGGTATATATTCGATTTATCCAAGCGCATATTTCTCATCATCAAATATACTGGTTGACCAAATTTCAAGTTATTTGATGAAGCGGTTGAATTTTCACAACGGGAGACAGTTTAGCTGCGACATAGTGTATATCCCGCGTTATAACTTTGGTTTTCACGTTCAAAAACCCATTTTCTCCGCAGAATGATTCGAAATGGAGGAACACCTTTAGAAGAATGAAGGAGTTAGCAATGCATCGAAAAAATGTAGGAAGCCCTCAAAAACTCGAAAATATCTAAATATGAGATGTATTTATCCTGAATCGACCCTCTTGTAGTATACAAACTATAACCTATGCAGCACGTGACAGTTAGGGCCAGTTAATATGATGTGAGATATTTTCACTTCGTATCATTATTAAAACAAATAAATACAATATATTCGAAGGCAATATAAGAAGTCCATCAAGTAGTCAATAAATGTTGAACATGTTCAAATATAAGTTCAGCTGTCATGACTTCTCACGTCTCAGTGGCGCGATCTGGTGAACAATCCTAGTCCTTTAGGTCGAGGGATTGATATTCGGATTGTTTGAATGGTTTTGCCTCAAATAAAAAAGTTTGAGTGATGAAATGAAAAATTATGTGATGAAATTTGAAGTTGTATTTGAAAAGAATATTTTTTCACCAATTTGATAAATTGGCAATTCAATTAATGACTAGGAAATTAGTCAAATTAATTCTGGTACCTATTTATGATCGATCTAATGTCTAAATGTTCTAGATGTGATGTATGTTGTATACATTTGTGGTGAATGTAAGCCAGGATGCGTACGTCGTATAATGTAATCTTTGAAAGAAATAAAACATTATTTGTGTTATTAAGTTGAAGGACGATTAAAAAGGTAAAGTTTTGTTTTCTTGAGGAATGGTTATTTCATTTTATTGTCAATTACACAGGTAGTTTGAAAGAGACAAGATGACAGACACTGGTAAGTCGGATTAATTTTGACATTTCAATGTAAACAAGGTTTTATCGAATACGAGGAGTTTCAGCATAATACGGAATGATAAGCGAGACATGTGAAAAAAATAATCGAAGAAACACCGTACTTTTTAAATTCTGTAAATTCTGTATCAAAAACGATTCTATTTGATGCAAGAATATGGCCTGCAGTTTGTCGTTCAAGTCTCTGTGTACCCTGGTAAGAAATTTTAAATAAGCTGATTAGATAGGTGAGTAAATAGAAGCTGTCCACAAGTTTTGTTCAAAAAAATTTTCGGTTTGACCAAAAGTGCTGTGGATACTGACGTTCAGAAACACATTACCCAATATAAGTTGAATAGAATGCCCTGTTTCGATCCTTGAGTTCATGCCTCAGATACATTATGAATGCAAGTGAATAATTATAGTTTTCTGTATTTCAAAAAATATATTGAGTTGTATATAGGATATATTATATGAATAATAATGTTGAGACCATTTCAAATTTTGACTGTTATTCAAAGTAGGCCACTCTCGAATTTTTTGAGACTAGGTAATTGACTCAAATTTCTATCTAAAATGATAATAAATTAACTATAAATATGCCTAAAATTATATTTGAACATGTTTATTGAAAAGAGTACCATCAATGTGCTGATTGAACATATCAAAAATTTGCTAATAAAATCCGGATAGATAATCTAAGCTTATATCAACGAAATCATTTACCTTCTGTAGAAACCTCCTCACTGCCTTTATCATTATCACTATCACCATTTTTTTTGTTCCTAACATTACTTGATCCCAATATTTCCTCTTTATTTTTTTTATTTATACAAGATTCTTTTTGTGGTTTGCATTCCTCCAATCCATTATTCTCAGATTGAGATAACAAGTTTTCCTCCAATTTATTATTACTTTCTGCTCCTTCAGATAACGAAACAATTTCAGCCAATTTTTCCTCTTTCAAAGACAGATGAGCTTCAGAAAGGTTCAAGTTCGAATTGTCCACTTTCATGTCGGAACTTTGCAAATGAAGTTCCTCTGAAGATTGGCCTGAATCTGTTATTCCACGTGAGGCCACAGAAGATTGAACAACATCATTAGTAGAATCAATTTGGGAGGTATTCCGTTCTCCATCACCTTTCGATGGATGATTTGAAGAAGGTTTTGATTCAGATGTTAGAGAATTTGTTACAGATAACTCAGGACCCACGGTTGAAAGAGTTGAAGCAGGCAATGCTTCTTGTCCTTCTGATGTTGCCACTTTGTCATTCTCATTAGTAACAATTTCTTTTGGAGTTTCTTCGATTACTTTGGATACTTTCGATTGTTCTGCCTTTACATTCTTTCCTTGCTTTTGCATTGTAACACCACTGGAAGCACTCGATTCATTTCCAACCGGCTTTTGTTTTCTATTTTGTGTCAACTTCTCGACAGCATTTTGCAAGCTCTTTTCATTTTTTGACTCCCTAGAACTTCTTTTATTTGAATTTACAGGCTTTGACATAGTTGGGGATGGAAGCAACCTATGTGTTCTTGATAATGGAGATATGTTTGGAGAAGTGGTTGAAGGAGGTCTACTTGGAATCTGAAAAAAAAAAAAAGAAATGATTGAAAATGAATGTAGCAATATTTTAATTCAGCATAACGGGTCACATAACGGGTAATAACGGGCAAGGTAAACTCTGCCATTTGCTGTGAATTTGAAATTCAGGCCATCAAAATAATACATGTAGTACGTTTTTATAAAAGAATTAAAAGTGTACTGTTACTGGTTTCACCAGAAGTGAATTTTCAAATATTTTCGATATGATTTCTGTAAGCTGAAAGTTAGTAATATTTTGGGAAATGGTCGATGGGGTTGTTTCAGTGAACCAATCTAGTTTACTACCACAAACTGTTTTCCTACGAAAACTTTTCAATCCCTTTCAAATACCTATTGATATTTACAACATTTCGAATTTGCAAGAATCCGTCTACTAACACTTTTGAAAACGTATCTATATAATCGGAAACAATATGTTTGCTTATATAGAAAGCATAAGAAGCGGAGTCATGAGTACACATTGTGGAATGCAGCAGGGGTCTTTATTTCGACCTCTACTGTATTCACTTCATGTTAGGAGCCTAGAAAAAGTTCAACGACTTGGCAGACACTTTTCTTTTGCAGCCGACACCGTCTTAATCTACAGTAACGAAAATCACGAGAATTCAAAGATAATAATTAATTCTGACCTAAATTTGTATAACTTTTGGATAACAATAAAAAAAAAAACTCAAAATAGATACAAAAAACAACCTAATGGTTATGCAAAAAAATACGAACTCTGAGGAGATAAACATAAAAATTGGAGGGAAGAAGGTACAAAGAGTTGAAAATACAAAATATCTTGGCATAGTTAAAGACAACAAGATGAACTGGAGTAAACATATTATTGACCACATTGAAAACAACGTAGTACCGATGATCGAAGCGATCTACCGATGTAGAGACTATCTTGATCACAAACTATACACGCCTTGCAAATATAATTTTCCTATAGGGAAACCGTGTGCGTTCTGTGCATGGGCATTTTAACGACGGCGATGTTGCCATACGCTTCGTATCGAGTTAGCTCCTCTTTCGAGCGAGTCCATTGATCGGCCCTACCGCAGGGATTATCATTTGCCACACGAACCATACCGGAGTAGGTGAGGCAACGACGCTTACCAATTACACGGTTTCTCTATAGGAACGTTATTTTTGCCAAACGAGTATACTCAAATCTATAAATCTTTATTATTTTCAGATACTTGATTCTTATATGGGGTGCTTGTACTGCTTGTGGACATATACTATTTGAGAAAGCAGCAGGACTAAAAAATAAAATTGTAAACATTTAATTCAATATCGAATGCAGAACACCAACAAAACAGGTTTTTGTGCAATCTGACGTTTGACAAATCTCAGAAATACTAAAAATTGAACATAGTAAGTTTATATAAAAAGTTAGCAAATTTCAACAGTGTAAATCACGAATGAAATTAAACCATGAAGTGCATTCCAATGAGACAAGGAACCAAAGAAATATATACATCGAGCACACAAGAATGAACCTCGCCTTTAATAACCCTCTCAATGAATGTATCAAAACTTTTAATTGTCTACCAGTGGCTTTGAGAGAAGCCGATAACAAAAAAATATTTAAAACTGAATTGTCACGAAGAATATCTAACAATAACATCACTAAATGTAAAAACTTCACAAACGATAAGATTTCCACAAAATTTATTAAACACACGACATGTTTCGCTAACACAGTAGCTTCGTCAGGTGATATACTGGTACAATTAACTAAACTAACGTTGGCTTGCTTAACTTTTATATATCTTACCTTCCCAAACTGAAGGATTAGTTACCTGTGGACAGGTACGATAAACCTTCATTTTCGGAAATTAGGCACAATATCTACATTAAATTACGGTATACCGGATTAACTTGAAAGAGTTGATATCAAATACATATTATTACTTACTAAGAAAACAAATTCAAAAGTGGTGAACTATCAAGGTCTAATTGATCATTAAGTAAAATGTCAAAATTTTTGAGTTTGTTGATTTCTAATGATTCAAAATGATTGAGTTTCAGTCCTTTATTTTCTATGTGCAGAATTTCAAAATTATCATCAAAACTATGGTTTTCTTCTAATATATGGTTGGCGTATGTTGAATTTGTTTTCTTTTTCAAAAAATTCATCTTATGTTGCGCTGATTAAAGGTACGACCTGTCTGACCGATATATACCTTAGGACAAGATCCACAGTTGAGTTTGTATACCCCTGATTTTTCGAATTTAGAAGTTTTGTTTTCATTATTCTTGATAAACCGTCCCAACGTGTTATTTGTTCTATATGCCACTTTTAAGTCCTGTTTATGTAGAAATGAAGCTAATTTCTCAGTTGATGATCCGAAATAGGTTAAAGTTCTATAATTTTGATTATTATTCTTGATGGTAGGATCAACTTCTTGAATAGCTTTATGATGAAGTTTTTTAGAAAGAATACTGTCTATCAAATTAACGTTGTATCCGTTGTTGACTGCAATCTGTTTTATGATATTGAGTTCTTTATTGAAATTTACTTCCGAAAGAGGGACATTCACTAGCCTGTGTATCATACTATTATATGCTGCAATTTTATGTTGATAAGGGTGTGTTGAATTATTATGAATAGTGATATGAGTGTGGGAAGGTTTATGGAAAATTGAAAAATCATGTTTATTGTTAATTTTACTTATTGTCAAATCTAAGAAATTGATTGAATTTTCAGTCTCTATTTCTATTGTGAATTTAATGTTTGGATGAATTCATCCAGTTAAAACGTTAGTTTAGTTCATTGTACCAGTATATCACCTGACGAAGCTACTGTGTTAGCGAAACATGTCGTGTGTTTAAAATGAAGCCTTGCAGAAAAAACCTGATCTCATTATCATGATTCAGGAAACGTTCCCCCATTCATTCTCTACTTCCCAATAATAATGATCATTAGTCCATGAAATGGAAGTATACATATTCGTATTGAATAAACAAAGAAAACCCTACGAGATCCATTGCGGAAGCTACTTCACAAAAACTCGGATTTTTATTCCGTGCGAGAATCTACTTTACACCTCAACAGCTTCTCATGATCTACAAAGCACAGATACGGCCTGTTCTGTAATATACAGCTCAAAATTATCTACTTTGTCGAGACAAAAAAAATTATCAACCACAATTTCTTCGCCTACTGTGATCACAAAAACTCCAGCAGAATTAAAGAAATCGGATTAGGCATTTTTTTTTTAATTTTGAAAATGGCAATCGATTCGGACTAGTCACAAATACTCCTATATCAATTTTCAAAACAATATCTCATAAGGGGTGTTAGCTATAACTTCTTCACAACCACATTGATATTTTCAAGAATCGACCTTATTGCGATTCAGTATATGACAATCATTACTACTTGATGGGCGAGTGGACTGATAATGAATTATTGGCATTCAATTACTCCAGTGTGTCGATAGGAACCTAAATTAATGTTCGCATCACTTCTCACGCTTTTTTTGTTGTTCGATATTGTTGAATTTTAGAGCTCATTTCAAACGAACCTTCATGGCCGCCATTTGGCGATACGTCGAATAAATAGTTACGTCAGTTTTTGTGCTGTTTCTAGTTCATTCTTGACTTTTCGAGCAACCAGCATATCCAAATATTTTTTATTCTCCATAACATGATATCATGTAAATGTTGAAGACTTGACAACATGGTGCTGAATGCTGAGAACTGACAAGACCACGCCCACAAATCGTGCGCCGTGTTGTCGCGTTCACCGATTCAAATCTAGTGTGAATTCATATAATTATTAATCACACAAATTTATCATAAGCAATAAGCCACAAATCATAAGGGAACATTTTGAGACAATTGCATTTTTATTGCTAATTAGGAATATTACCAATACTCAATTGAGAATTTATGAATTATTGAATAACTAATATTTCTGAAGTTCCCAATCGTATTTCAACACATGGCAACGGTGCTATGGTCTGCCCCTACTTACGAAATCGTGGCGTCAGTTTTCACTGGCGGTAAATTTCTAGCCGTCTGAGAATTACCGTGGCTAGAGTCACTGGATGGTATTAGTTTGATAAGAGTTCGGACACAGCTGAACTTTTGTCCTTTTCTATTTTCTATAATACAATGGTTTAAGTGAATAAAAGAATAAGACATATATTCTGCTCTTTGTCTTTTCAATTTCCCTAGTAGCGCCTGATTGTCAGATACGATTTTAGAGGTTATATTTTCTGTCAAATCAATCATAGCCGTAGATGGACAATGGGTATAGGATACAAACACCCACTTCAATTCATAGTGATACACTTCTAGCAGAGCAAGATTTATATAAATGAAAAAAATGCATGTAACAACCTTTCAATATCAGAGAATATATACATATGGATAAACTTATAGCTGCTATAATTCCTTATTGTATGTGGAACTGTAAAGTGAAGTATTCCTGAGACAATTTTAAGAAATAAAGTCTATATAAGCTTGTTTCTGGAAATGTTTCATTTCGGAGATACAGGGTGTTGAAATACAGAGAACAAATCATTTTTCGATGAAGATTTCATGGGAGGAAAGTAATTAATTGTGACGAGACCTACCAAATACTTGGTTTTGTTAAGTTCTCAGCAACTTCACTTAGCGCCCTAGGAGCTAAGTAACATGGCTTCGATATAGAAAATATGTCCAAAACGATAACCTCCAGCGTAATTAAGGCCCTTATAATAATTCAATTGATACATAAATATCTATTCACTTTCCACTATTGAATTTTCGCGGTCAGCACCAAAACGCCATTAAATAATATATCACATTGTAGTTTACTTGCTTTTCTTAGTTTCGGTTTCAAATTTTCAATTTCATAACGTAATTTTGCGATCATTTCCCCTTTTTCCATGATTATTCTGTTTTGTATTTTGTGTGATGATAATAATGGAATTTTGTTCTTGAAATCGTCTGCTTTGTAAATTGATGGAACAGCAGATTCTCTCAAACAGATTTTGAAATCTTCTGTTTGAAAATGGTCCTAAAAACTACATTCATTCTAATCAGATGCTGTTATAAGAAGTGAATTTCAATGAGTACCTCACAAATTTCGCTCGTCTTCAAATTGATTTTCAACCCAGGCCGTTTCATATCTTCCTTCCATAAGCGAATGCTTGATATTTGATTTGGAAAATCGAATAAATAATATCCATTTGTTTCAAAATTGGCACAATTTATTATACAGCAAGTGATTTCCATAGCTGCTTTTATTTCGAAAGTATAATAATTATGAAATTTTATTTCAATTCTGACGTTTATAAAATGAATTGTCAAATTCAAAAAAATTTGAATGAGAAAGCGCGGGACGACTATGGTGCTCTTGTCACAATGCAAGGTGTGTAACTTTATAAATCTAAACATTCAAAAACCCTAATTGTTGTCATTTCTGTGTCCGAACTCTTATCAAACTAATATCCAGTGACTGAAATTGAAGAGTATTTGAGTGATTCTATTTATAAGAAATAAAAAAAATTAGTTCACTCGCCTATTATAGCAGTTCCAGAGTCTTCATGATATGAATAATACTCTGACTCACCTGATGATTATGTATAGTCTGAGATAAGGCACCCATTTTAGGACTAGAAGGTGAAGACAGCATCTCCAGGTTCAGGTTCAACCCCGGTATCGGAGCTGTGGGAAAGGACATCCTCGGCCCGTACCACAGATTATGATAAGCGGCCATCACTCTGGGATCGTAAGGTGGAAAACCAGGGGGGCCGGTGGGATATAAGAACTGATTCGGACTCATCGTTGGTGATGTTAAATTCGGAATGAAAGGATTTGCGGGAGTAAAATTCAGATTTGCCTGTAAAAAAAACATTGTGCTTTTATGGGGTTAACCCAAGCAAACGGTATCAAAATTCGCCCTATCATTGAAAAAATCCAGTAGTCGGTTTCATTATCGTACCCTCCGAACAACGAAACTCCATCGAACCCCATGTTCTTTTGGACGCTGAATCCGAATGATGAGTTATCCAACAGAATTTCCTTGTGCGTTTTGAAATATTCACAAAAAACAACGAAATTTTCGCACTTTTTTTGGTTTTTCGCTTATAATTCCAAAAGTATACGTGGTAACAAAAAAAATCATACCTTATTAGGATATTGAATTTGTTACAATTGGAGTTTAACAGCAGCACACAATTCTCGAGTACCAGCCCTTCAAATATGGTTGAATTTTTTCAAAAAATGTTATTTCAAGTTTTGAGTCAACTTTCAGAGGCTAAATATGGGGGAAAATACTGATTTTACGAGGAAAATAGTCAGGAATGAGGTTGTAGTAGTTTTAGCTCTAATTCACTCTAGGAGTGAGATATTTTATTTTTTACGATTCGAGAAACATTGGGAATGATGATAAAACTGACTACTGGCTTTCCTGCAACGTAAAAAACTAATATTTTCCTATACCGTGTGACCAAGATGAGGTTGCACAGCATGGGGATCTCGGAAACGGGAGGAGATACGAATTCGGTTAATTAGGAAAAAAGTTGCGCATTCCGAAGGTCGTACCAACGGACTTCGAAAATTTTCGAAATTGTTTATAGTTTTTCAGTTATATAAAAAAAGTTAACTCTTGGAAAATATTGTTTTTCTACCTTATTATTAGAGATACAGAAAAACTGAAAATACTTTTTTCTACAAGCGTGCGTGATTCACCCTATACCCGCACGCAATTTAGTTTGGGAAGTGTCATTTTCCCGCAGCTTTGCGGGAAAAACAAAGATATGATAATATGGCAAAATATAAGTGGTAGGTGATGGAATATCAGAGTTTGAGTTTGTTTGTTGCAGTATTAAGTATGTATGTTCAGAATCATCCATCAAATTGCACTATCTATTGTGAAAATTAAGAAATATTGAAAAATAAAAATTGATTATTATAAAAATTCCCCTATAGATTTGGATGGATCTAATGGGAAACGATTATTGTTGTCATGCCAATCACACCTCAAATGAGTTTGTAATTGTCGAAGTGACAGACACAGCGTTACTGTCATTTTCGATTCAGTGGAATTGCCACAATGTGATCAAAAACTTCCAGCTATAGGTATGCGATACAGATGCGTTATTACCAACGAAGTCTTAAGAAAGGTATGAGAAGCTATACACGTGTTTCCAGATAAAGAAGAACTATTTTTGGTTCATTTCCTAGAAGTGTTTGAAACCTAGAGACCAAACACCTTATGGGCCTACTGGCTTCCGCAATGAACCTATACATAATGCGTCAAACTGTAAGTTCACAATAGCTATTACTAATAATCAGTAGATAGAGAATATATTTCGCTTGTTAGTTGTTCCTATATGAAAGAATAATTAATGGGGGAGACCACTGATTTTTCAAAATGACATTATCGTGAACTCTATACTGAAAAACTACCAGTGAATTAATTTTGAATTTTTTCATACATGCTAAGACGATGAAAAAAATAAATTAGAATATGTCCATTTCAAAACACACAATTCCTGCGCCATCTGAATGTTTGTCAATTCATTGGTGTGCCTGGTGCGTCGTCTTAGTCTCAACACGCCTATTGCCCTTGAACTGACCAATCACACTGCAACACTGCAGAATGACGAGGTATCAGAGAGGGATAGCTACAGTTTGGGACTAATACGTCACGGCTCCACCATCATATTTGGCTTTTTGAAATAAATAATGAAATATGCTCATTTCAAAACGATATAGATTCAATTCCCTTCAACTTCAACTTATAATATTGATTGTACATAAAACGTAAATCATGATTCGTCGATTGAAAGAGGTTTGCACGGATTTCTTCCTTCAATGGTCTTCCCCATTGAACAAATCAATCAATTTTGTAGAAAAAATATTGTTCCTAACTCATGCGGAAAGTGTCTTTCCCGCACTCGACTGCTTGCCCAAACTCCGCTTCGCGTCGTTTCTTTCCGCACTTTCCGCACTTGTTAGGAAAATCACTATTCCATAGCAACTTTTGATTAGATTTAACGTGATGTTGATTTCTCTACGTGACGTTTCGTATTCGTAGAACCATCATCAACTTTATTTTTAAAGACGGTCCTGATTGTGTTCATAGATTCTGATAGCTTTTTTATTTTGAATTCAACCATATATTACTCAAAGTGGTTCGAATGTGTTCTGACATAGTTTTTTCAATGTTTTTTTTGGAATTCCAAAGAGGAAATAGCATCAGTTCCACTTATTTCTGATCATTCAGTATCAAACATTGATCAAGTAGTTATTTAATACTGAAAAGTAAAAAAAAAATTTTTATTGAATTATTCAATGCAGGGCTTCAAACTGTTTCATGTTAATGGATTCTTACACGAATTACCTTGATAACTAAACTTATTCTACAGTCCCTTGAGCGGCGCGATTACCTAATTGGACACCGTTGAATTATTCTCTTTAGGGATACATTAAAAACTTTGTTTGAGCAAATAATTTTGATAACGAAGAAGAACTAAGGGACAGTATTATAGAAGCAATCAATAGTATTAGACCAGGAATACTTAGAAATGTCCTAGAAGCAACTGTAGGAAGATGATATTTTTGTTTAGAAAATAATTGTTTTGTTTGTTATGAATGTTATTTTTTTCAATTACTATTCGTGTTGTCGGAGTTTAGTTAAAAAGGCCGTTGGAATGACCCTCGGAATGCGCAACTTTTTTCCCATTCAACCAAATTCGTATCTCTTCCAATTTCCAAGATGCTCTGCAACCTTATCTTGGTCACACTGTAGATGTTTCAGAGGGACAGCTGGCTACTATGCATTTTTGTTATCGAATTCACAGTGTTTTCAACCAACGTAAACTGATTCATAAAAAAATGCTTCAATGAAACTATACAATGTATCCTAGTATAGCTCTGTTGTCACCGATAATTAAATGATCGCCATGATGCTGTCGCACTTCCTAGACACTCCGAAGACCAAAATCATATTAACAGTTCCTTTTTATCGCAATAGTATGCCATTGTTCAACAATTGCACAAAAAAGCAATTGAGAATAGTATGTTCCACAAGTATTGGAATAACCTATATTCCAAAGGAGTGAAAAGTTTGTAGCTCGAGTTGTAGGCGACATAAAAGATGAAGTGAGTAGCTGTAATAACTACTGATATTACTATTTAAAAAAACACTGATTGACGTTATATCTGACAGAAATGTCAAAATTTTAAATACTAAAAATCAACAGAAAGATGAATCCGTTCATTATCTATTATTAATTTGAATGACACACACATCACATCAAAAGATGATAACAACATAGGCAACACTGTACCAGCAAGCATGCTACAATAACACACATCTGCAAACCAGTACTGAGCTCGACAAGATTATTCCGTTTGTCGATGTTAGGAGATATCTGTGAATTTACCTTTTCTCGTTTACTTCCCGTTGGTGAGCTGGTCGCCTTATGCTTAGGAGAGTGCGGACTTTTCGGAGATTTCCTGTCATTTTTAGGTGAACTTTGCAGCTTCAACGGGCTGAATATAGACACCGAACTGGTATTTATCCTCAGATCACTATGGATATTTATCTTCGGATTACTTTTGATAGGGATGTTGTGAATCTGGTTTGTGTAGTTCAGGTTTGCCAGATTGTGATTAGTTAAACTTTGACTAGTGGAAATGTGGTTGCTTAAGCTTGTCGTTTCTGGGGCTTTTTCGGATATAGGTTTCAGTGTTTTTGGATCGATTTTGACGATTGAATGCTTTTTTATTTCACTTTTTTCCATTTTGTTCACATCTTGGCTCTTATCTTTATCTGGGCTAACATGTACTTGGTACATGGGTTTTACACCGGAGGCTGGGTTACCTGTAAACACAATGAAATGTAGAACAGGATAGAATGAAATAGTTATTTATTATACAAGGGGAAAAGTATTAGATATTAGTTCGAGGTTGTGTTGTCTCCGAGATATAGGTGTTAAAAAAGCATGTATGTTCAAAATCACCCTGTTCCTTATGAAAACAGTTATGCAAAATCTTGAGTTTCACAAAAAACTTGGAGGAACGTGAAAGCCGTGAAAGGATCTATTTTCAATAACAACCGAGAAATCTTACAGTCCCAACCTGAATGGCATGCACTGTACAGTCGGATGCAAAGAACATGTCGCGGTTTGGTGGTATTACCGCTTTTATTGCAGAAGTGACTAGAGCTGCTATCACCGGATCACTGCCCATAAGCGACATGTTCATTGCATCCAACTATACATCTGTTGTGTTTGAAAAAAAAATTTGCAACTACTCTTGAATTTCTCAACTTTTTTATATGTTTATTGAACATATATTTGCGTGAGTCAACTTACCTAGATATCGTGGAATATTGTTTCGCATTTTAAAGAATTTAGCTGGCCTCACATTCTTCAAATCTGAAGGTTTTGGTTCAGGGGTGGTTTTACACAAGTTAGCCTTCGATATCTGAGAATTCCAACTTTTAGGTGGATCCCTCAGCGTTTTATATCCAATTGGTGTGCTGGGTTTCGTTTTTATTGCTGCTTTGGTAGCATTCTGAACAGGCTGCTGCTGAGAACAACTGGTATTGTTTTGTTTATTATCCAATCTGGGTGCTGGTGAAGTAACGCTAGCGCAAGTAGTGGGAGAAAGCCTCGATTCTACCACCCTTGTTACTCTGAAAGAAATGATGAATTTAGATAATGTCCTTGCCAGGCTCACAAATGTTAGAAGGTCACAAAACCAACAACTAGAGATTCTGGATACTAAGAAATCGTCGTCAGATCGAAGATGGGCCAACATATACCTGAGAGCTTAGACAGAGTAAGTCCCACTTTGAGAGGTTCATGTCAATAAGGCAGCTAGTTCCGAGACCAGACAGAAGAATATTGCATACCAAAAAATGTAATATTATTTTGTGGGACAAATTCATGAATTATTTTGATCAATAACTTCAGTTTTGGGTTATTTGACAATTGACATTCATGGTTCATCACTTTTCATAGGAAAATCATGATTTAGTGATCATTCTGATTGGGTAATATCATTGTGAATAATTATTGTGTATAGTGGTCTAGAAATAATTGTAAATATAGATATTAGTGTGAATCTGAATTTTTTCTTTCTATAAGAGAATATACCGTCTGAAGTTAGAATTACTTTTTCCCCAGTAATTTACTAGTTTCGGATTTTGTGTGGGATCTCTTATTCTAAAAAGATCCAGGCGCCCACAAAATTCAACTCGATCTTAACTCATCTTATCTCAATTAATTTAAGTTTCTAGTTAACTTATCTCATCCAAGAGATATTAGCTCAATTATCTGATAAATTGTCTGATAAAGGGAATTCTCACGCCGGATACAAATCCTTACCCCGTCCCTGCCGTATCAATTCTGAGCAGCCCAAAGGCAGGAGCAATAAAAAATACACAACCCCCTTTTAATATTTTCGAATATAAAAAGGGATTTACAATATTGAAATCTGATCAACAGCTTACTGACAAAAAGTTATATCGATTTTGTTATCAGATTTTCGTTTGAAAACTGTTAACTGCAACGCCCTATATCTCAATATCGAACCATTTTAGAGCATATAATGTTCTTAAAAAGAGATTATAGTGTTTCTCGCCGTGTATCTTATCTTAGTTTTGGGTGATACCACAGAAACTAACACATTAGTGTTTCATGGTGTTCTAGTGATAATGATATACAGGGTGTTTCATGAGAAGACTCACATAGCCAAATGGTTAATAGGGGAAATCAAGACGAGTTGATGTATATATATGAAAACATTTTTTGACCCTCCATAACGAAGATACAGGGTATTATGTGAAATTGCTATATAACTTTGATGGTCGATATTACAGAAATGATTCGTCATAATCTGCTGAAATTTGGCAGCGACGTATCTCTACTGAAACTATTCAAGATAACATATTATGAAAAAAAAAAACCGTTTATTGTCCAAACAGGTGAGGCACCCAATTACAGGACATGCAAATACAGAATAAACACAGTTCATAATAGACATAAGTAAATAGATATAGGATAATACATCAATTATTATTACCTTGAGTATTTAGTTATTATTTTATTTATATTTATATTATTAAAAAAATCCAGGTCCGGACTTAGGAAAATTTTATGTTTCATTGTTATGTCAAAAAAGTTCACTTAGTGCCACTTTCCTCGAAAAATTCCATCAGATTCAGAAAGATCAGACAAAATTCTATGTGAACTGCTCTTCAATTCACACGGCACACTTTGACCGGTTCAATAAAAAATATGGAACAAAATCGTTCGAATGAATTTCAAATTTCGACCTGGCTGATAACTGTCAATTTTCAACTGGTATCATGTGAATTGATTTTTTCTACATTTTTGTTGAATAGTAATTGACAGAAAGATAGAGGAGAAGAAAAAACACGATATTTTTTATCGAAATTCCAGATAGATATTATTATTCCTGACTTTGTTTTATGGGTGTCGCTTGAAGTGAGATATCGAGTAGGTCCTGTTTTTCATTTGTGTGATGAGACGTGACGTTTGTTGATAATATATTACGCTTACGCCCCAGCGTTGGATTTTCGTCTTGTTCAGCATTTGGAATGTGAAGTGGCAGCTAGAGTGTAAGAATATTTCGATTACCAGTGTTTACCTATCAACAAACGCCACGTTACATAAAATAAAAACAGGGCCCACTTCATAACAAATTTATAAAATAGAGTCACGAGTAATCATATCTATCTAGAAGTTCGGTCAAAAACTAACATGTCAAATCATAAAAAAATCAGAACTAATCTCTTCTGTCGATTTCTATCCAATGAAAATGTACCAAAAAATCAATTTACACGTTCCAGTTGAGAGTTGAGAGTTATCAGCCAGGTCGAAATTGAAAATTCATTCGAAAGTTTTTGCTCCATATTTTTTTATTGAACCGGTCAAAGTGTGCCGTGTAAATTGAAGAGCAGTTCTTATAGCATTTTGGCTGATCTTTCTGAATCTGATGGAATTTTTCGAGAAAAGTGGTCACAAAGTGAACTTTTTTGACATAACAAATGATACTACTATACTTTTCCCATATCTATTCTAGAATACAATATCTAGCTTCAATATGGGGCTCTACTGGAAGTGGAATATTGAATCCCTTGAAAATTTTACAAAACAGGGCCATAAAAAATATCTACTCCCTACCTCGCCTAACTCCAACCACTGAACTTTACTCTCCAAGAGGTTTTCTCTCAGTAGACAATATCTACTACTTCAAAACCAGCATCTACATTCATGCAATATTAAATAAAAGTAAACACACGATCACACTATTTAGATCAACTCAAGATGTTCATGCACACTCTACAAGAAACTGTACAAATATTTACATCCCATCCACCAGATCCAAATATGGAATGAACTCCATCCATTATAAAGGTATAAAATATTATAATGAATTGCCAGGACAAATAAAAAATCTCCCCTTTCATAAATTCCGAACGGAATTAAAAAAACTAATTTTAGGTAAATAAATAAATAAAAACCAACACTTTCATTCTAATTTCTTTTCTTATTGTTCACTATTATTAATACATATAAGTTATGGGTACTCTAATTCATATGTCTTCATCTTGTGCAATCCATGTACTACTTAGCCTGTGTACTATAGTATGTATAATTATCATGTATATTCAACTGTTTTTTGTTTTTTTGTTATTATTATTGTTATTGCTATCATCATTATTATTATTATTATTACTAGCACTCTTCAGCTTTCTTTCTTTGTTCTTAGCATAGAAATGTATATTTTTTTCTAATTAGAACAAATAAAACACTTGAAAAAAAAAAAAAAAAAAAAAATTTTCTCAAGTCCGGACCTGAATATTCTTTTTCATAATATGTTATCTTGAATAGTTTCAGTAGAGATACGTCGCTGCAAAATTTCAGCAGATTACGACGAATCATTTCTGTAATATCGACCATCGAAGTTATATAGCAATTTCACATAATACCCTGTATCTTCGTTATGGAGGGTCAACAAATTTTTTCATATATATACATTAACTCGTCTTGATTTCCCCTATTAACCATTTGACTATGTGAGTCTTCTCATGAAACACCCTGTATAAAACATGTGATGTTTTGAATTGGTCAAACATCATACGTTTCATCCCTAGCATTGCCTAGAGTTGAATTCAATAATGGTTTTGTACTTTGATGCAGTATCCTGTATCTCTGCCAAGTCAGAGAATATGAGTGCTGGAAATTTAGTCCATTGAGTTTTTGTGGCTTCATGAGTTATTTAATTAATTTATGTTAGGGGAATAATTAAAATAGTAGAATAAACTTGAATTATGCAAAATTCATAATAATTTTATCGTTTGATGCGAAATTGTGGAAGAGGTTGTTCTCAATTATTGAACTATAAATCATTATCAGTTAGTATCCATTTGTCTTTCAAGTTAAGTGAAGAAATACCTTGGTATAAGTTGGGCATATCAATGTTAGGTTGATTATTTGTACAAGTATTTCACTTTGTTAGCAAAATATGTGTTGATTAATTCAGAAATATTGTGTAAATTGTAGCGTTTGTGAAGATTTTCACATTCAATAGTGTTATGTTCGGTTTAGAAAATCATTCCATTCTATTTTTTCATATAACCTAGTTTTCAGAAATAAGCCATAAAATTTAATATGGCTTCAATTACTCTATGCTTTATGTGCCATACATGGGTACTTTCAGATATTTTACAAACCTTATTTCATATGTAATATCGCGATGTTTTGAATACAAATAAAGACATAATTATGATGAGATATTCAGAACAGAGTGGTATTTTGATAGACTATTTCACGAGCAAGCCATATAACCAAAGCTATTCATTCTAACATCTACATCAGCTATAATTATTTTAAGTCAAACTGACATACTTTGTTGAGAACACTAATGCTGTTAGACCAATCAGAATTGAGAGACAGCTAGTGTTTTCGCGATAACACAAGTTGTCTTTGGCTTGCGATTGGCCAGATTATGTAAGAATCTCAAAATGAGTTTAATAGTTAGTTTCATTCGATGAGCTAGGGAAAGACTAATTGAAAAGGTACTTACTGACTTATACTCGTTGTTGGCTTCGGCACCGTTATTATCGGGTTATAATTCGCTTGGGGCATATAACATGGCGGTTTAGCTGGACTGTAAGTTATTGCATTTGTCTTAGAAGGTATAATTGATGACTTTGTAGACATTATCAACGATTTTGATACAGGCGTTTCTGGTCTACTTCTGTCCACACTTAACAAACTATTATTGTTAGAAGTTAGCTTAGAAATCGTTATTTCACTTGTACTGATCGTATTAACACATTTCATCACTGAATTACTGGTTTTGGTGACTACTTCACTATCACTGGACGATGCTAGCTTAGCCAAAGCATCTTTGAGATTTTCACCGTTCCGATTCAATTTAGAATGTTTCTTCAACGGGTGATTATTGGAGAGATTCAGCAGCCCTATTGAGTGATTCAAAATCGTCTGTTTCTGCTGCTTTACAGGAGGTTCACAGTCTGCTATCGCTTCAAGTTTTCTTTTCAAAGTTTTAACATTAGAATTCTCTTGCGATGGAGGTATCTTATCATCTATACATTGTTTCTCAACTTCATCACTTTTATCACTACCTGCCTGTGGTTCAAATGGCGCTGATGGAATTTCTTCACTTTTCGTGCTACACTTGGAATTATTGATGGTGCTGTACACTGTGGTTGTTGTAGCACATGACAATGTAGAACAAGTACTTGAAAAACTAGGTACATAGTTACAAGACGTATTCGATATACAGCTTAAAGTACCGACTGTTTGAACTGCTTCTTGCGATTTTGTAGATATAGTTGTACTATTTACATTTTCCACTGTTGATGGACTACAACATTCATTTTTCAATGTACTGCTTGTGGATGTTGATATATAAGTACAGGTTGAATTTGCTATTGATACAGGAGGAGATTCGACAGTTGTATTCCCTGAAAAAGTAAAAGAACATGATCAAAGCTAATGATCATGAATAAACACGGAAATAATTATTTGTGCACCTAGTGTATGTTTGTTGCATGATGCATGAAGTTTGCAGTTCGAGACGATGTTGAGTGCAAAAAATATACTTTTTCTCCAAATGGCATAGAAAGTGGTTATTCTATGATACCTAACAGACAGCAGAGGAGTATTTTCTCTGTCTAGACAAAAAAGTTTGTTGCCATGCAACGTTCCAAGTATTTTAAATGAAATTGGTAATCAAAATTGACACTGACATTGGGTGAACACAAGATGATGGAGTTTTCAATAAAAAAAATACATAAAATTGGTTTTATAACATTTGGAGAAAAAAATATGTTTCAAAAGGCAGCAAAGTAGTTTGAATGCCTTGGCTAAATTCGTCAGCCGCGGCAGTCAATTTACTATTTTGCTGCATATCAAAACAAATGACTATTTTCTCCAACGGCATAGAAAGTGGCGTTTCTATGACACTTAACAGGCAGAAAAGGTGTACTCTCTCTGCCTAGGCAAATAAAAGTTTGTTGCTATGCAATGTTCCAAGTAATTTGAATCAAATTAGTGATCAAAATTAGCACTACTGACATTGGATGAACACAAAATCGCTACGCTCGGCTATGAACTATCAGCCGCGGCAGTCAATGTACACCTTTGCTACCTAGTAAAACAAATATCTATTTTGTTCATGTTGCAGACAACATTTTTTCTATGACCGAATTAAATGTATTTTGATATACAGTTTTATTGGAGAGTATTTTACAAAACAAGAAATATTACTGATTCCTAAAATAGATCTACAATAACATGCACAGTTTAAACTGACGTTATTTTCATAAAATAAAATTTAATTCAATCTCATACATTGTGACTATGAATATAATTTTGTTTTTTCGCATCATTTGGTGGTTTATAGAAACAACTCTCAAGATATAGTTATACAGGGTGTTGCGAAATTCGACCGACAACGCCTGACAGGTGATAGCCCTCGTGATTTCATAATCACTGAGATAGGGACATACGGTCTGCAAGTGTTCAGTTCTCGAGATACAGGGCGTTGAAGTTTAGAAATTGAAATAGGTTTTTCGCAATATCTCAAGAAAAATTGAATATAATGCATTCAAATTCGGTATATGGTTTCATCTTTCATTGGTTCATTTTTTGACCAGAAATACATCCCAAGAATTTTATCCATAGGTGCGCTACAGAGGGTTGTGATAACTTTTCCTCCCATATTATCTACGCCACTGACAAAATTTCGATTATTTCCAATTTTTCGAATTGATTGTTCAATTATGTTGAACAAATGCATCACCTTCAACTGAGCTTAAATGAACAGTTATCGAGATATTCGACCCAAAATAGAAGTTTGCATAGTAATTTTTCATCTTCCTCGGTAGTAGAAAATAACAAAAATGTTTGTTTTCTCTTTATGCGTGGAATAACTATTTCTGTTCAGCTACAGGATGAGATCTGAATAGTATCTGATCTACTCAACACCAGAAATATATTTTTGCAATTTTCTACTACTGAAAGTAATGAAATATTACTATGCAATCTTCTATTTTGGGTCGAATATCTCGAAAACTATTCATTTCAGCTCAGTTAAAGGTGATACATTTTTTGAACAAAATTGAACAATAAATTCGAGGAATTGGAAATAATCGAAATCTACTCAGTGGCGTAGAAAATATGGGAGGGAAAGTTACCACAACCCCCTGTAGGGCACCACTGGATAAAATGTCCTGAATGGCTTTCTGGTAAAAAAATTACCTATACAAAGATGAAACCATATCCCGAATTTGAATGCATTATATTCAATTATTCTTGAGATATTGCGAAATAACTATTTTTATTTCTCAACTTCAACGCCCTGTATCTCGAGAACTGAACACTTGGAGACCGTATGTCCCTATCTCAGTGATTATGAAATCACGAGGGCTATCACCTGTCAAGCGTTGTCGGTCGAATTTCGCAACACCCTGTATAGATAACATTATTGTGATAATGGACGAGTGGACTGATTTTTTTTCGAGAATCTCAACACTGTTACTTCATATTTCAGAGGAAGCTGTCCAAATAACCGAAGGAAATTTGTTAAACTGAATTATAACTTCGACTGGTGACCTAATTTCAATAATAAAATAATGTTAGTACTTCATATTGAAAAAATGTCTATCGCACTTCGTTACGGAGTTATTGACCTTGAAAGTTAGAATGAAAAAAAAAATGAAATTTCATGTATAACTTTCAAACGGTTGCCATGGTATCAATCATATTCAGGCAGATAAATAAACTTATACTAATGCTTATTTCCATACGTAAACGACATTTCAGTGAATATGTTTTTTACTTCCTTCATTTTTCATCTACAGAAATGGCATACTTCATTTTAAACGATATTTTGTACCGTTCTAGGGAAAATCGCATTTCAAAACATACATTCCAACCGCTTCAGAGGTAATAAAAGCTCCATTCACCTATTTAATGACATCAGTGAAGACAAAAAGATGATATTGTTTTCAATATATGCGTCTTGAACTCCAACTCAGTTTCTACAGTTGTCTGAACATCTGCGTTGTACTCGAGATAACATGTGATGATGATCATTTCTTACGGCGTGTGCAGATGTGAGAATTCGATTTGAAAGCTCATCCCTAATATTTATATGTGTTTTATAGACTAAATATTCAAGATAGCCCCAAAGAAATAAATCAAGTAGATTAAGATCAGGTGACCGAGATGGACATGGAAAAGGACCATGGAGAAATGTAATGTTCAAATGCTTTGACGAAAACAGGAGGCGCACTATCGTGCATCAGCCACATATCACCTGGAATATTCGAAAGAACCTCTTCTAACATCGGATCTGAATGTTCTTGCAAAATATAATTAAAGATCCATTAATGATATAAGATCCATAATTGAGCAGTTATCAATTAATCCAATCCATACAGTGATAATAAATGGAGTATTATCACCTTTGAAATGGTTGGGATGTATGTTTTAAAATGCGATTTTCTCTAGATCGGTAAAAGATATCGATTGAAATGAAGTATACTATTTTTCTAGAAAAAAAGATGAAGGGATCAAATGGTGGAAGCAAAATGTCAAATTTATCACCTCTGTCGAAAATGCTTTCATTAATCGAAAAAAATTCTTCCCACCCTGTATAAAGCATAATCATTATTATTATTATAATCACTGAACAGCCGTTTATTGATACCATGGCAACCGTTTGAAAGTTATACATGAATTTCATTTTTTTTTATTCTAACTTTCAAGGTCAATAACTCCGTGACGAAGAGCAATTGACATATTTTTTATATGCAGTACTAGCATTGTTTTGGTTCACTTCATCAGCTCTATCATTCAAGACATGACCTTCCCGGACACCCTATGACAGCTTAACTCTCCGCATTAAAAGAGTCACTTAAGTTTCGTTACATACAGGGTTTTTTTAGTGTTTGAGAAATAGCAATTATGTCTACGTACAAAGTCACATTAGATATGGTGTCATTTACTGGGGAACATCTACGGATGTTGAGAACATATTCTTACTACAAAAAAGTTGGTAACGAAACATTTTCAATGTTTTACAAGCAGCTAGTTCTAGGTATTTATTCGTGGATAAGACAATTCTTAGTATGATAAGTATATTGATCTATGAAGCAGTCATGTTTGTAACTGAACATATGGAGCTTTTCACATGCTATGACAGAAAACACAGACATAATACTCGCTAAAAACGATCTTCTAAATATCAGGTCCAACTTTGCATATATGCAGAGAAATATTCCCTTCTCATTAATCGACTAAGGTTGATTCACGGTGGATGGCACATTAGACGTTTCTGGAGAACGCAACTCAGGATTACTCTGAAAAGTTGATGCCTTGAATAATTAGTTTTGTTCTTTCGACCTAAAATATTCTCAGCATTGCGAGGTTGCCCCTTATATTGAAAACTAGCAACAACTTTGATTTTTTAAATGAGACACCCTGTATATTATCTCATTTTCAGATTCTTCCTGAAGAACTAATTTCATTGACCTATAACACTTGGGGTCTAGCAGTAATAATTTCAGAGTTATAGGATGTGAAAAATCGAGATTTTTCAACTTTAGGAATTTTTTGTGTCGAATCTATTCATAATTGGTCAAAACGGTTTTCATGCTCCTATCCCAACGTTTGATTCAATATTTGATTGAAATAAATACAGAGTGGTACAGAATTCAGATTTTTGACCACCCTGTATCTATTTCAATTAAATATCAATTGATAGTACGTGAAAAGTTGAGATAGGGACATGGAAACCGTTTTGACCAATTGAGAATGGTTTCGACACAAAAAATTCTTTAAGTTGAAAAATCTAGATTTTTCACACCCTATATTTTTATTATCATTCCCGCTAGACCCCAAGTGTGATAGATCGATGAAATCAGCTCTTCAGGGATAATCTGAAAACGGAATGATATACAGGGTGTCCCATTGCAAAAATCAAAGTTGTTGCTACTTTTCAATATAAGCGGCAACGTCGCAGCGCTTGAGAATATTTCAGGTCCATAGAACACAACTAATTATCCGAGGAACCAAATTTTCAAAACAATCCTACGTTGCGTTCTCCGGAAACGTCTAATGTACCATTCACCGTGAACCAGCCTGTATAACAAATTACCTGAATTATTAAGAACACAGCCCATTAGAAAGCTGAAAATTGAACTGAAAAACTTGCTTTTCAGAAAAGCTTATTATTTACCTGACGAGTATTTCACAGGCACATTTTAGTGGTAATATTCATTTCATTTGATTTTGTTTCATTTTGTGATATTTCTCAATTTCTAGCACACTGTTTCACTTTATATACATATGTTATAGTGCATTTATGACTGTGATAACACTCTATTGCAATTTTTTGTTTCAATTTGTTTTCTACCTTAAGATGTATACAATGAATGATTTTTACTAAACTAATTCATCACCAATCTCCTTCATATACTTAAATACATTTTCTTTCCTAATTAATGTATAATATTCATGATTTTTTTCATTATTTTTTTTATTAATTAATATAATACTTGATCATATTGACATTTTCTACACCTGAAAAGGTATTTTCGAAGGAACTAATAAAGGATATTTATCTATCTATCTCACTTGGTGTTCGGGAACATGACTAAGAGTCAGATTCATGGCAGGTCCTTAATGCATTATGCTCCTTGTGATCCAGTTCGGTCTCTTAAATGACTCGTATTTTCATATTCATATTTCGTATTTTTCAATAAAATTGTAACTTACTTTTTATGTCCTACCACTATTGGCATCTCGAAAACAGTAAATGAAGTGAAGTTGGTTAAATTTCAAAAAAAGTTACCTATTTTAGTGAACAATGAAAGGGTGTTTCCAAATCGAAAATTGATAGAAAATCACGAACTGTTTTCAAAATACCCAAATCAATCCAATGCAACTTATGTATAGAATCTTAGTACTTCTGTGGAAGTAAATTCTTATGTGAAATGTGGATATATTTTCATTGGTTGTTGAGAAATGTGACACTATTATTGCTTATCGGTACATCACGTCATCGAGAGATAGCGTTTTTGAGAGGTGATTATTTTCTTATTTTCATTATTGAAAAAATATGTTTGTGATGATTTCAAATAATGAATGAATGTATGGAATACTTTTGATACATGGAACGACTAATATAAAATAGATATGTGGTGTACAACCCCATTACAGAAATAATTTGAAAATCGTCATACGTGTTGCTTAATCGCATGTTACTAATCTTACCTTTCCCAATGAACTTTAACCCAGGCAATTCTTTTTTGATCACATTGTTTTTCACCGACTTTGAGTCCACCTCTTCACCATCGTCTTTGTACTTTGATTCGTTATTTACAATTTCTAGAAGTGAAGGACTGAGCCTGTCTTCTTGAATACCTGTTATTGACATCTCCCCATTTTCGCTAATACGTAATTGCACTTCCTTCCAGTTATTATTGTTATTGGCCTGTGCTGTATCAGCGTTTTCATGGTCTAATTTTGGTTTCTTTGCCGTGCATTCATATATCCTGTAGGTGAGTTGCATGGGTTCTTTCTGAGTAATAAAAAAATAATAAAATCAATTATTACAATTCTAAACAAGATAAAATACAGGCTGATTCATTACAAGCGCGCATCCAAGGGGGGATAAAGGTTAGAAAAAATGAAATGTTATCACGGAATTTTCTCATTTGACGATAGTAGTGATATTCTTTCGTCTGAACCAACTGATATATTTCACTGGAACTGAAATTAATAAGTCGACATATATTCTTCTTATTACGATAATTTTGTCCACCTAACGCTTGGTTGTAAGTCGGAGTGAACTGGAAGAACTGAGATTTGTTGAGTTATGTCAAAAAAGTTCACTTTGGGAACACTTATCTCGAAAAATTTCATCAGATTCAGGAATATCAGACAAAATGCCATAAGAACTGCTTTCAAATTTACACGGCACACTTCAACGGATTTAATGAATAAATATGAAATAAAAACGTTCGAATAAATTTTCAGTTTTGACATACCACCACGATTTGGCTATGTGGCAATCCTCATGAATCACCCTAGATATTTGTGAATGAAAAGTTTCGAGTTATGAATAGTACATTGAATTAATCAGGATTTCAACCTCTTTGAAGACTGATCTGAGCCTTTTCTTACGTCTAAAACATGACAAGTAGATCAATGATACAGAAATTCAGTTACCTCATTTTGAGTTTCACTTTAATCAGTTCAGTCAAAGAGTTCAGAACGAAAGAACGCCACTAGTATACCGAGTGACCCAGGGTATCGGGCCACCCCTGTAACTTCTGCATTCGTGAACTGATTTTTCTGAAATTTAGCACAACCATTTCGGATTTGTACACATTACAATCCAATATAGCGGACTTCCGGTTTTTCTGGAAATGCCAGCAACTTTGTTTTTTCAAATAGAAGACCCTGTTTATTTTTACATATTCTAGTTCAACAGGTCGAAACTAGTGCAATCTTAATGTCGAATGTCACAATGAGTTCAACATACTAAAGAAATATAATTTTTTCTGGAAAACTATTTTTTGTGTCACTTATTGATGAATAATTTCAGTTACATCACACACTGTCTCTCTAGAATATATATCAAGGAAAAAAGTGATATTTCATTTTTGTAAGTCGGTGCAGTAACAAATTGAATACATCCAAAAATCAACTAGTTTCATGAATTTCCTTGCAGTTCGAGTAATTTCCCAAGTAAGCTGTGGAAAATACTTTCCAGCAAAAAATATGTTCAGAAAACATGATTTTGCAACCAGGTGCAAAACTAATTTCATTGTGCTGCCAACAAATTTCAATCTGCTGTTTCGCAACATCGCTCTTATTTCAAAATACACGTTTTTGATTTGTTGGAATATTTGTGTTGATAATCGGAACCATTATGTTGTTTTTCGAAGCTACAAACTTGGGGTCATAAGACCCTAAATGGTTTTAACAATATCTAAAAAAATCAGAACTTCATCACGCTTAGCGATTTTAGCCACTTTTTATGTACGATTCGAATGGCGTATTAGTCAACGGACACAAATTTTGTGATATCTTCCTTAATACATAATTTCTAGAATCAACCAATTTAATGCAATTCGGAGTGAATTGATTCAAGCTGGACTTCAATCAGTTGAGTGTTTGGCAAAAGATAACCTGCTTTCATTCAGCATTGAACAGCTGAAATTTGACGAAATATCATTGGCAGATGACTGATGAAGTGAGGAAAATAATAAGGGTGAAAATATTGTTACTGGTTGACATTTGGAATGTCAGTTGATATAATTCTTCGTTTTCATAAATATCGATTATCAGGGGATTATTTTCATGAAATAAAAAAGACAGTTATATTGTGTTCTTACCCTCTTCCACAAATAGATATATGCGACATCCATCAAGGTGAGGTTATGATTAAGGCAATCTTGATTATAAAGAATGTCGACTTTATGATTATCAGAAAGATCATATTTTGCTCTTATGAGTTTCTTCAGATGGCCAACAGAAACAGCTGCTGGACAACGTAGATACCTAAAAGAATAAGTCATAGTTTATCACCGACCGACAGAAATGTTGATAACTTGAAATGTTAACTGGTCATTCTAGATATTAGAAATATATTACTGAGTGGTAACAAACATATTTGATGAATACTAGTTTGACGGAAAGTTGTCCCTTTATTTCCATAGCAAACTTTTCAAAACTGTTCAATCCTATTGCTGCATCCTGTAGTGTAGATCCTGTACCTACTATACTATTATTACTATACAATTTACCTTGGTTTATTATCAGAACCATGGTAACTGAGTGTCAAACATATACTTTCTTCTGCAGTCAACAAGTACTGATAAGAAGCTTCACCACACTGTTCCAAACTGGTTGGCTTACTGTCTGGGTGATTTTCGTAAAATGTCCGTCTTTTTTGCATCTCATCTAAAATTGAAATAATGGAATTACGACACAACAGAATACCCACAAAAATAGAGGTTTTCAAAGAGGAAATCATATATCAAAATTGATTTTAAAAAATTCAGACTTCCTTGAGATATTCCCGAAAAACCACAACTTGAAACTAAGCACTTGAGGACCCTATGTTCCTACTTCATTTTTCATCGAATCACGAGGAATATCTCTTCTGAAACATTGTCGGTCAAATCTAGAAACACCCTGTATAGAACCTACCCTTCAATGATAATAATGAAATTGATAATAATGATGATATAATACTTATGAATGATAATAACAATAATAATAATAAGGATCATGATTTTTTTATCTCTTGGAGCACACAAAAGGAAATATCTTTAATGTTCGAAGAACATCGTGAGTACCTAGGGAGGATAGGGAGAGGAGGTAGGTGTTGGATTTTTTTTCACAAAAAAAAATCAAAATTCTATACGATTCTAGTAGTACTAGGGCATGTTTCGAACCAATATAGGTTGATCATCACCGGAGATGGGGAAAGCCCCAAAATCCCCAAAAAGACAACATTTTACATACCGCGCTTTTTCCCACTACAAAGATGTATTTCAAGAGATACCATTACCTATTGTTTACTTTAGATGAAAGCATTCCCCCAAGAAACATTCAAATAACGATGTTACCAAATAACTTGTATAATTTTTGAGAAATAATAAAATCATTGTTAAAATATCTAACAGAAATCAACTACTTTCCTGGCTTATACCACAGAATATTGAATAAGTTAGTGTTTTTAGTTAATTATAGTTTAATGGAATTTATCCAAAAGGCCATCGATCTAGGTCTTTCAGCAATGAATATTGAATTATATCTGTCAAATATTGGAAAACCCACTTATTTGAAAAAATAAAGAAATGTACAATAACTATTGTATAATTTTTTCAATATAAAAAAATATGGAAAAAACATCCAGAAATACTTGTGTGAATAACTTCTAGTGTTAGAAGAAATTCTCAATATATTTACTGTTCAGTAGTTATTCGTCGAGAAACTCGTCTATTTCTTGAATATATTACTGATGAATAGTCTGACTGACTTTTTCCAAAAATGTCACTTTATATATAACTGCCAAAAAATCTCATCAAATACAAGGGGATTTCAAAAATATCAAACTACAGAGTATTCTGAATAAAATCAAATAACAACATTCTTCCCCCTAAGAAAAGTCTTCGACCACTTCCAACATAGAAAGTTGACATAATTTCGTGGCCGTTCTTCGGTAAACCCCAGTTTGAGTTTTTACGTCTGCTACTCGAACTTTATTGTCTGCACCGGGGTATGTAGCAATGATTTTTCCCATAGGTCAATTGTTTCTTGGCATTGTCACAAATTACTACCAAATCTCCTACATTCAAAGAATGACCATCCCTATACCATTTCGTTCGCTTTGTTAAAGTGGGTAGGTATTCACGAATCCACCGGTGCCAAAAATGATCCGCTAATTTTTGTGCATATCTCCACTTCTTTGTGATGTCTATTCTACGATTTTCAAATGAACCTGGCGATTTTGAAGCACTTGAGGTTCCGATCAAAAAGTGGTTGGGGATGATACTTTCAATATCCTCTGCATTGTTAGACACACTCTTAAACAGAACACCTATGTGATGTCAATTCAATTGATTTTCCTTTTTTTATTCCATGTTTTATGTAGAATAATAGTAGATTATATAATCTACGATCAATTGTTTTTCTTCCTGATAGCAGTTTCACTAAGAGATTTCCTCCTTTATGGCATCATGCCATTCATTTCACCACATTCATTATCCAAAAAAATATACACATCCAGCAAGAATAGTTTTTCTATAGAGGGTATTTAACAAGGAGAGGAAAAAAGCGTCGTTGCCCCACCTACTCGAGTATTGCACGTGTGGCAAACGATGATCCCTTCGGTCGGTCCGAAAAATTGAATCGCTGGAAGTAGTTGAAGCGATTCGAAGCGTATGGCAATGTCGTTTTTTCTCGCTTCCTCAAAATGCCCATGCACAGTTGAAGCGATTCAAAGCGTATGGCAACGTCGTTTTTTCTCTCTTCCTCAAAATGCCCATGCACACGATTTCTCTATATGAAAATTATTCTTGCCAGACGTGTATATTGATTCTAAATTAGATATACAATAATAAAAAATATTTTTTATGGATACATTACAATAAGTATACAATACAGAAAAAATGTTCAAAATCAGACATTTTTTGTAAAATTGGTGATTTCAACAACTACTTTTATTTCCGGCAATCCGCAGCTGGAAGTATCATGACCAATTATCATTGAAGGGAATTCATGTAAGTCCAAGTATGAAATAACTTTGTTCTCTAAAACAGGACTATAGCATAAACACAATAAGACCTTTGGTATGGCCACTTGGGAGTCGCATGAGCATGACCATGTAAGAATGTCTGGACATCTATGCTCATTCATCATGAAAACGCACGATCCTACCACAAGGATTCTGAAGTCCAGAATAGTATATTTTGTATTGGATTGGCCTATATTCCAAACGAGCGAAAAGTTTGTATTGTTCGCGAGTTTAGAATAATTACAAAGGATACGGAAATGAAGATTAGAATGACAGTTATAGTTTGAAAGAATGCAAGGTGTTCAAATATGTATGTGGGCAAGAACTCAAGTAGATCCTTGTCGGTCAGCAGCAGTATGAGAATGATTCATTTCAACACATCAAAATCACATTCGTTCCGAAACAATGTGACATTGTGAAATGTTTAATTTTTGAAGTAGTCCTAGAGAAACAATCTTCTAATGGGAGTCTTGGAATTCTAAATACCCACTCCCCACTCATAAACCCTCTTTCCCCTATGTGATTTACTTACTTTGAAATAATCTCGGTACCAGTTTGTAGACAATGTCTTGTATAGTTTTATCTGATCTGATGTTGAGTAATGGTTTTGTCTTGTGAACCAAAACATCGCAAACTGGACAGTATTTGTTCTTTTCCAGAAATTTAACAATGCAACTGCGACAAACTGAAAAGAATAAAAACGATGAAATATTAACAATACAACGAACAAACATACCACTTTACATAACATTCAATTTCTGATAGTACATAGAGAGAGAGAAATTGGCAACATAAAGCGCAACGAAATCGGCTGATGGTTGGGTATACTTTTTGCCGCCATGATAATTGCATTGTTAATGTGATATTGCAAGTTATCTTCATTCAATTTCAACTTCAAGTGTCAAATGCAAATTTGACAGAAAAAATTTGAAAAGCTATGTGTAAGGTAAAAATGACTGTTCCACGACACTACAGGCAGAAAAGGAGTACTTTCTCTGTCTAGAGAGAAGGAAAGAAGGAAAGAAGGAAAGAAGGAAAGAAGGAAAGAAGGAAAGAAGGAAAGAAGGAAAGAAGGAAAGAAGGAAAGAAGGAAAGAAGGAAAGAAGGAAAGAAGGAAAGAAGGAAAGAAGGAAAGAAGGAAAGAAGGAAAGAAGGAAAGAAGGAAAGAAGGAAAGAAGGAAAGAAGGAAAGAAGGAAAGAAGGAAAGAAGGAAAGAAGGAAAGAAGGAAAGAAGGAAAGAAGGAAAGAAGGAAAGAAGGAAAGAAGGAAAGAAGGAAAGAAGGAAAGAAGGAAAGAAGGAAAGAAGGAAAGAAGGAAAGAAGGAAAGAAGGAAAGAAGGAAAGAAGGAAAGAAGGAAAGAAGGAAAGAAGGAAAGAAGGAAAGAAGGAAAGAAGGAAAGAAGGAAAGAAGGAAAGAAGGAAAGAAGGAAAGAAGGAAAGAAGGAAAGAAGGAAAGAAGGAAAGAAGGAAAGAAGGAAAGAAGGAAAGAAGGAAAGAAGGAAAGAAGGAAAGAAGGAAAGAAGGAAAGAAGGAAAGAAGGAAAGAAGGAAAGAAGGAAAGAAGGAAAGAAGGAAAGAAGGAAAGAAGGAAAGAAGGAAAGAAGGAAAGAAGGAAAGAAGGAAAGAAGGAAAGAAGGAAAGAAGGAAAGAAGGAAAGAAGGAAAGAAGGAAAGAAGGAAAGAAGGAAAGAAGGAAAGAAGGAAAGAAGGAAAGAAGGAAAGAAGGAAAGAAGGAAAGAAGGAAAGAAGGAAAGAAGGAAAGAAGGAAAGAAGGAAAGAAGGAAAGAAGGAAAGAAGGAAAGAAGGAAAGAAGGAAAGAAGGAAAGAAGGAAAGAAGGAAAGAAGGAAAGAAGGAAAGAAGGAAAGAAGGAAAGAAGGAAAGAAGGAAAGAAGGAAAGAAGGAAAGAAGGAAAGAAGGAAAGAAGGAAAGAAGGAAAGAAGGAAAGAAGGAAAGAAGGAAAGAAGGAAAGAAGGAAAGAAGGAAAGAAGGAAAGAAGGAAAGAAGGAAAGAAGGAAAGAAGGAAAGAAGGAAAGAAGGAAAGAAGGAAAGAAGGAAAGAAGGAAAGAAGGAAAGAAGGAAAGAAGGAAAGAAGGAAAGAAGGAAAGAAGGAAAGAAGGAAAGAAGGAAAGAAGGAAAGAAGGAAAGAAGGAAAGAAGGAAAGAAGGAAAGAAGGAAAGAAGGAAAGAAGGAAAGAAGGAAAGAAGGAAAGAAGGAAAGAAGGAAAGAAGGAAAGAAGGAAAGAAGGAAAGAAGGAAAGAAGGAAAGAAGGAAAGAAGGAAAGAAGGAAAGAAGGAAAGAAGGAAAGAAGGAAAGAAGGAAAGAAGGAAAGAAGGAAAGAAGGAAAGAAGGAAAGAAGGAAAGAAGGAAAGAAGGAAAGAAGGAAAGAAGGAAAGAAGGAAAGAAGGAAAGAAGGAAAGAAGGAAAGAAGGAAAGAAGGAAAGAAGGAAAGAAGGAAAGAAGGAAAGAAGGAAAGAAGGAAAGAAGGAAAGAAGGAAAGAAGGAAAGAAGGAAAGAAGGAAAGAAGGAAAGAAGGAAAGAAGGAAAGAAGGAAAGAAGGAAAGAAGGAAAGAAGGAAAGAAGGAAAGAAGGAAAGAAGGAAAGAAGGAAAGAAGGAAAGAAGGAAAGAAGGAAAGAAGGAAAGAAGGAAAGAAGGAAAGAAGGAAAGAAGGAAAGAAGGAAAGAAGGAAAGAAGGAAAGAAGGAAAGAAGGAAAGAAGGAAAGAAGGAAAGAAGGAAAGAAGGAAAGAAGGAAAGAAGGAAAGAAGGAAAGAAGGAAAGAAGGAAAGAAGGAAAGAAGGAAAGAAGGAAAGAAGGAAAGAAGGAAAGAAGGAAAGAAGGAAAGAAGGAAAGAAGGAAAGAAGGAAAGAAGGAAAGAAGGAAAGAAGGAAAGAAGGAAAGAAGGAAAGAAGGAAAGAAGGAAAGAAGGAAAGAAGGAAAGAAGGAAAGAAGGAAAGAAGGAAAGAAGGAAAGAAGGAAAGAAGGAAAGAAGGAAAGAAGGAAAGAAGGAAAGAAGGAAAGAAGGAAAGAAGGAAAGAAGGAAAGAAGGAAAGAAGGAAAGAAGGAAAGAAGGAAAGAAGGAAAGAAGGAAAGAAGGAAAGAGGGAAAGAAGGAAGGAAATACGGGGGGAAAGAAGGAAAGAAGGGAAGAAGGAAAGGAGGAAAGAAGGAAAGAAGGAAAGAAGGAAAGAGGGAAAGAAGGAAGGAAATACGGGGGGAAAGAAGGAAGGAAAGAAAGAAGGAATGAAGGAAGGAAAGAAGGAGTATATTTTGGTGCAGGATGTGCACCAGTCCTTTTGACAGGTGATTTTTATTCTCACTTTGGTCTTTGGTTTGTGATGTTTCCTGTATATTTCCATGATACTTATTTATATCTGCACCTTCGCATTTCAATGTATTCATCAATTTGCTTTATTATTTTATTGATACATTTTGTATTCATATTAAAACCGATTAAAACTAAAACCCGGCCGACTTGATTTTGATTACGACGGGGTCAGTTGGGATTTATTCAAAAATACCAACTCTAGAGTTCCATAGTTTTTAACCAAATAAACATCGAAAATCACTTTTTAGATGAAAGTTGTTCAAAAAATATGTTCTTACAGAATATGGAAAGAAAATGGTAACTTTGTGAAAAAAATATTTCGCCATTTCGAAAAGGGTTGAAAAATGTTCAAATTGTTGTAGAGTTCGAAATATTCATGTTTTGTGTACCCAACTCCCTCTATGTTTTCTGTTTCCAAGCAATGAATTGACATATTCTCTATTAGATGGCGTTGACTACAATCAATCGTTTTTCTGTAACACTGTCGTGAATAAAGTTAGTTCATTTTCTGTTGCCGAAGAACAAGCGTGTTTTCGTTCAACCTGACCCCATTTTTTACAAAATACGAAAAATATACCTCACACACAGCTATTCAAATCCCCGATGCCAAATTCGCATTTGCAGTTTCCCATTTCCTGTTATAAGTCAATGCCGGGGAGTCTGAATCACCCGGAACATAAAGACTTTGGTGATCACACGTTGAAATTCTCAATCGAACATTCATCGCGCCCACATCGCGCCCAAACGAAGATGTCTAAATGAAGATGTAGAGAACCAATCAATGAATTCGACAAACGAGAGTCAACGAGCAGCTACCAGCTGATGGTTGGGTTATAGTTATTTATACACCAAGGTAGTAAAGAATATCAGTATTACCAAGGGACCAAGATTATATCCCGAGGCTTCAGCCTATGAGAGCACTTCTTTTCAATCCTAATTAAAATCTAGTAGCCATGACCATGACAGCATATGACAAGTCGTTGTTGATACATACCCAATAGATTCGAGTGCCATTTCTACGAATCTCGCATCAGAACAGTGAATTCAGGTTGATTATAACAGAGGTGGCTATGTCTTTATTGACTAGTGGTTCATAAAATGACGAAAACTACCTTGGTACCGTAGAATGGGGATACTTGGAACTGCGGAGTAAATTGGAACAAAACTTCATATTTTCAAATCACCCTCTGAAATCTACAGATGATTCCATTTTGAAACATCGTATCGTGCATAGTTGTTCAGTATGGTTATATACTTAAGTGGCGTTTAAATATTGTTTCAAGAATGTTTTTTATCATATTGAAACTATAAACAAGGCTATGACAGAAAATATAGCGTTAAAAGCTTAATAAGACATGATCGATTCAATATACGGCGTTCATTCCATATAACTTATGTTCAGTAACCATTTCACTATCGAAATGCCGTGATATCACTGCTCAACTTTGATTATTGTTGCCAATATATTTTTTTTTTTTCATAAAGAAAGTCAGAGTTGCAAAAATTTGCCAAGAACTTGGAACAGGCGCGAATAATTGTACTTATCTGTTGGTAGTCATAATAGGTACCTGATAAGACGTTCCCTCCATCCACCACCGCACAACAACCCCCTAAACTCCCCACCAACACCACAAAAGATTTCATTTTTGAGATTTTACTAGCCCTTTTTGCTGTTAGGAATTATATTGAAGAGATATTTTGAGTTTTTAATGAAACGCATTCATGACAATGCACGGGAAGATCTAGTAGCGGGCGACATAGGGTATTTTGGTATTGGTATTGGTAGGTTGGATGGTGACAGATGCGCTGCGACCTAAGTAGATCTATTGTGCCCCATCTGCTCCTGCTATATCAAGGATTTCCTGTTCATAGCAGCCCCTCGAGATTCAATTCCTTCAGGAATTTGAGGATTTTGAGGGGGTCTAGCTGTGGACATAGGGTATCAGGCCACCCCTGTAACTTCTGCATTCGTGAACGGATTTTTCTGAAATATGGTACAGTTATACACGGTGTCCAAAACGGTCATGTCGTAAATTATAGGGCTGATAGAGTGGGCCAAAATAATGTTAGTATTTCATATACAAAATAGGCTTTCTGGGAGATACAGAGAAGTGCCCAAAAACGGCCAGGACTGTAACTTTTGGATTATACGAGATAGGGTTTTGAAAATTGGTGGGCAGCTAGTATACCAAGTTGCTCATTCCGGTTTTATTGGAAACGACCCCAACTTTTGATTTTTAAATGGGACACCGTGTATTGTATTCCATAATCGGTTAGGGATTGTCATAACAAATTCACAGATACCGGGTTTGATAGGGTTATTTCAAACGATTACGCAGATATTCGGGTTCTATGTTTCCATATGCTCAATGAGTGTGACAGAGAAAGAAGTATTGATATTTTGAAGTCACACCCATTGAGCAAATGTAAATTTCGAAGGCAAATATCTTTGTAATCGTTTGGAATAACCCTATCGAACCCGATATCGTTGAATGCGTCATGATACTCCCTAACCGATTATAGAATACAATACAGGGTGTTTCCTTTAAAAATCGAAAGTTGGAGTCGTTTCTGGTGAAACTGGAAGTGACAGAAGAAAAATTGTTTCATCAATTAATGAGCAATTTGATATACTTGCTACCCACCAATTTTCAGAACCCTATCTAGAATAATTCAAAAGTTACAATCCTGGCCGTTTTTTGTGCACTTCTCTGTATATTTATTCACCTTAACAAGGGCAATTAAGCATATAAAATAGATAAGTATAAGACTATGAAAAAATTATAAAATTTGAGCAAGCATGGATTCAATCAATGATATTCCTTATGTATTTTTGACAAAAAAAAATCCATAGTAAGATATTTTTTCCCATGAAACTGAGAGATTTCCAATTTGTTTTCGATAGTTGGGGTGAAAATGGGGTAAAAATTATGCAACAAAATCAGGGGACAGCATGATTTCAAATGATATGCCTGTAATAGATGGGGTTCGGAAATGAGGGATGTGTTGTACAAGAAAACCACTTTATTGTTCAACGGCCTCGAAATCTCGGTTTCTAGTGTACAGGGTGATTCACCATAAATGTCCCCCCCTCTAGTTCAGTTATTTTCGAACCGATTTTAAAATTTGAAATATCATCCTGAATGATTTTAGATAAAGTTTTTTTCCGCTAGATCAGAAAATACAGGGTGCTCGGAACAAACGATCTACAGGGTACTATTTGATTTTTTTTAATGAAACACCCTATTTTTCATTGTATTTTTAAATTCTCCCTGAAGAGCTGATTTGATCAATGTATCAAACTTGGGGTCTAGCGGGACTGATTACAGAGATATAGGGTGTTCAAAATCGAGATTTTTAACTTTAGGATTTTTTTGTGACGAAACTATTCATTATCGGTCACGCGGTTTTCATGTCCGTATCTTAACTTTTGATTTACTATCTACTGACATTTAATAATTGGAACAGATACAGGGTGACCAGAATTCTGAATCTTGAACCACCCTGTAAATGTTCCAATTAAATTTCACTAGATAGTAAATCAAAAGTTGAGATGGGAACATAAAAGCCGTTTTGACCAATAATGAATAGTTTCGGCACAAAAAAATCCTAAAGTTGGAAAATCTCGATTTTAAACAATGAAACAATGAAAAATTCAAAGTGGTTCTGCTAGCTTAATGGAGGTCTTTTTTCCTCCAGAACAGTACTCCTATGTAACAATAATGCTGATGATGAAGCTTTAAAGCTTCGAAACATGTCCCTGTAAGATTGCTTACAATAAAGTATAGCTTTGGTGGAGTCGACTGTAAGAATTTTGTCCTGTCCTATATACAGGATGATTTTGCTACATGCCTTGACAAAAAAAATCATAGAAACATATTTTTTTCCAATGAAAATGACAGATTTTCAATTTGCTCTTCGAATTTTGGGGTGAAGATTTGGTGGAATGAACAGGTGATATAATAACTCTATATTTATTCTACTACTGCTTGATGAAAACACCTGTTGTAAATATTTTTCAATACTCATTTATTATTCTAAGTACTCCCAAATTGCTTTGAAATACCTTCATTACTCAAGCATACTAAATATTTTGAATATGTTGTACACTTTATGGGAGTTGTTGTGAACCCTAAAATATAACCAGTTTTAAATTTGGTATGAATATCTGGAAAACTAAGAGAACTAAAGAAATGAAAAGAGAAGAATCTTGAAATTTTAATGCTCTGTAGATCAGTAAGGAAGCATTTGTTGACACAAATTTGTAGAAAAAGGTCTTATTCTGATCTGACCAAAAAGCCCTTGAAATCTTAATGCTGAATTTTGAAATGCCTTGTGAAAGTTAGCAAATCAATATAAGGTTAATTTAGTGTACACATATTTCACTTGAAGAAACTATCAGCTATTGTGTTAGTGAAACATGCCTTGTTAATTAATTAGGAATTTTTTGAAAACCTTATTGTTGTGAAGTTTTTTACAAGTACAATTAATTATAGATATTGTGATTATGAATTTTTGCTTAAAAAATGGTCACACCTTCATTCAAATTAATTCTTAGGATAATTTCCTTTTAATACAGGCAGGGACAAACTAATATTTCATCATCATTTTCAAGTGATTTTTGGGGTTTCACTCCTTGTTTGTGCTAAAAATCATTCAGGTTACTTAATTGAATTCTTAGACATGGACATCTTGGGGTGTATCCGAGGGTGTATCTACTGATCTGTCCTCCATAGATCATGCATACATTTGTTTTCTTTTTCTCCTCAGGCAGTATTTAACATTTCAACTCATTCAATATTCCACTTTTTCCCTAACTTATATTAATAATTATTTCCTATTAGCTCATCATTACCAACTGCTGGTAACATTCCCCACATGAAAAATTCTGCTAACTGAATGTTGTACCATGCCATAGTAAATGTATATCAAGTACTGTCAGAGATTTCAAATATTTCTCAATACAAAATAAGTTTTGTCTAATTTTATTTGGATTAAATGGATGTATTTTTCAATTTTGTGGATAATCTATAATGAAATCTAGTAGTTTCACTGTAGTTTTATTAGCAACTGTGTTTCTATACTTTTTTGTCTCACATTTAGACATAACATTCGAATTGGAAAATGTTTCCATATGTGAAAGTGTTTTGTTTAACTTTTGATATGAGTTTTGATACATTTTTCCTATCCTATTTTCTTATAGCATAAAAGTGGAGTCATCTGCCTACATAGTCCATTATTTTTATATCTCACTTTTTAGTGATAATGTGATTTTAGTGATGTGTATGTTTCAAGACATGTCAAAATGAGAAGTGAAAACTTCTCAGAAGAAACACAGTCAAAATTCTCATATGGGAGACAAGAGATTGGTTTATGAATTCTTGCCAATTGATACAGTTTCAGTAGCAGTTTGTTAGTTTTTATTTCATCACTAGAAGCACACTGAAGGAAACCCCTATAATGATCACAGGTCATGATAATACTTACATGTATGTAAACATTCAATTATGGTAGTAGCATCTATGAAATAGCCATTGCATATTTTACATGTAATATGCTCATTGAGATCAGTAATGGGTATCTTTGTGGATCCTTGCATGATCCTTTTATTGTCAGTAAGTTTTTCACATTATGTCCCTCATTAAAACCATTTCCAAAACTTACAATTTACCTGCCAGTAGCTATACCCATATTGGTCAGAAAGCCAGAACCACTTGACCTACAAAAAGAATTCAACAATTTGGCAATATATAAAAGATTATGAAATTGACTACCAGTGTTCTTTCAAGTAAACCATTTGATATTGAAATTATATGAAAAAATCATTCACTTTTTCCTTTTATTTATTGTTTACTTCGAAAATTGATATTAGTTGACAGACCAACCTGAAGCAATTTGACAGTTTATAAATGGCGTCATTTCTTAGATTTTTTGGTAGTCAGCAATCCTCTTTTAAAATCCCTTTATCTTCTGCAGCGGATTTATCCTAGGCTCTTGCTATAAATTGAAATACATTTCAACAATACTGTTATAGAAAATCTCGTTATTAGATCAAAAAAATGCTCAATATTTCGATCAAAATGTTAACAGCTTTCAAAGTTTCAAATCTTCTACTTCTCTTCTTTCAGTTCTATCCAGATTTATTTGATGTCTTTTGCATATTTGGCTCATTGCCTTCATACTCTTCTTATTTTTTAGGAATTTAGATATAATGTAGACTGCAGCTGCAAATACCTCGAAGCAGCTTAGAAAAAAAAATGCTGTCTGGAATGGTGCGATTGGTGCGTTATAAAAACGCAAAAAGTGAGGAGGTGGGCTGCTGCGGCCCGAGGGCCCTATATGTTGGACGGTCCCGCTGTAGTCAATGGTGAATGAAGAAGCCAGAAACAAGGTCCAGAAATAATGAGAACTTAGGACTTAGTAGTCATGGGATCATCGCACTAGATAAAATCAATATTCAGGCCCACGGTGGACTTTCGTGGGAAAGAGTTTTCATTTTGATGCGTGCTGTACATAATAAGCCACCATCAGCAACTTCGCTAAGGTCCCAACCTGAGAGTAAGATAGGAATCAGTGATATTCCTGGGTTAAAATTTATCGTACTAAACCTTTTCCAGTTGTATTTCAGGAAGCGTCAATTGTATTTCAGAATAATCACTTGTATTTCAGAAAGAATCAATTTTATTTCAGAATGGTCAATCAAATTTCAGAAAGTGTCATTTGTATTTCAGAAAATACTATTTGAAATTCATTAGACGCTTTCTGAAATTCAATTCACGCTTTCTAAAATACAATTGACGCTTTTTGAAATTGAATTGACTATTCTGAAATACAATTACGCTTCCTGAAATACAAATGAATATTCTGAAATACAATCGACGCAAAATTAAACTGATTTCCGTAAGTTCGAGTATAAATAAAGTACTAGATTATTGAATTTTTTTCTCCAAAATTAACCAATCAGAATGAAGGTCAACGCTTTCCTTTGCTTTTTTACGCTGTAACTTGTTTTAAAAAATCAATTTTGACATAAATTGTCAGACTGTGACAATATATGGAGAAGTATAAAATAAAACATTTGCCCCAATACTTTCGTGTGAATTTCTCCACAAACTATCGATTGTTCAAAACTGCAGAACTCCCTTATTTTTTGCTGATTCCCTCGAGGGAATGCTTGGTATAAAATGTTTACAATGTCTTTCTCCACTGCTTTTTCCGGTGGATTATGAAAGAAGACGAAACAGAGTACCTGTTTCTCTTGTTATCTATCGAGAGAAGCCCTGAGAAGCAGCGGGGAACTAGGGTCCCTTGATGAAAATTGACGTTAAAGTCATCTTAACAGGATGACTTCAACGTCAATTTCCATCAAGGGACCCTACGGAGAACGAAATAATTTGTTACTAAAATGAGGGACACGCTCACTGGCTCCTGTCAGGTAAAGATGACAGATTTTCGCATTTCTCGGATTCTGATTGGTCACGTCTGAGATGTTTATAAGTTGACGTCACAATCAATACTCGTAATAACCACGAAATAACAGAAACTTCGCTTCAAGGTCAATAAGCAGAAAAATTTTCAAACATTCAGAACTTCTTATAGATGGAAGCTGATAATTATCTAGTAATCTAGTATCAGTGAATGTGAACAGTCCGCGCTCCATCCACTGCTCTATCATTCATCTTTTCGCTCAAAGTTGTAAGATTCTCGACTTCAGTTGAATTCATTCCAACTGGTGAAGCTTCCCATGTTCGTATTCCCGTGGGAATCTTGAAGAGTATTCTCGACCACGATAGGAATGCTATTTCCCAGTGGAATTGAAAACACGGTATGTCGGTGATAGTTTATGTGCTCAACCAATCAGATATTGATATTTTCCAGGGATATTCTTGTTTTGATTCACAACGATCCAAAGATTTCAGTTGGTAGTGATGTATGCATGGTGGAATTTAGGTTGTGTATAAAAAAAATTGCAGAAGGAAGAATTGGGAAACATTTTTTTTATAAGGAAGCAATTATTCTCTAATCATGGAAGAGAAAAAAAGTGGACATATATCTGAATGTCTATTTTGTTCCTGAATAAATAATTATTTAATTCTTTTTGAATTTCGTATCAGAACTCTAGTTAGTTTAGTTATTTACTATGAAAAATAAGTCAAATACAAGAATATACCATACATGTAGAAAGCTGCTCATCTATATGAATTGGTTCAGTGTGTTTGAAAATCGTATACGATGAGATCTACATTCAAAAGCAGCACAAGTATCAATTCATTTATTTCGATAAAAAATAATCAAACAAAATAATTCCAAATTATTTGACGTTGCGACCTCCTTCCTTCTTGTAAATCAGCATTTTCATGTCTTAATCAACAATGAATCAATTATACAGTTCCATACTTACTTTAATTTTTTTGGCAGTGCTGATTCTCTGGTAGGACGTGCTAAAAAATTATCCAAGTTTTGGATGAGATTCAGTGCTAAAGGTTTAGTTAATCTGAATAACTTTAAAAAATGTTTATCTGATAACAGATCAAATGGATCTCCATTTTGCAAATTTGTCCAAAAATCTCTTCCTTGGTTTCCGGCCATTTCTTCAGCCATTTCAACAATGTCTTGTTGAACCAGAAGTATCAGATCATCATGTTTAGATAGTTTGTAAGATGCCTATAGTTTGATAACATACTTTTCATATTATACCTAGTACAATGATAATTCCAACCTCAAACTGGACTAAAACCCATTGGAATTTGAATTCGTGTGGAGAGTTGTATTGAGTTCATTGGGAGAAACACTAAGTGAATATATACCACTGAAATTCATAGGACCACTTTCCAGCGACAAATGTCGAGAATACTAAATCATAATTCCTATGAGAATTTGATCACTTTTCCCATGGGAAAAACGTCGAGATTCGACCGTTACCGGCGATACTCACCCAAGGCTATTTAACTCATATTTAACTCTACCCACCATTCTTCCGTAATTCAAGGTCATGTTTGTTATTGTGTTCTCAGTGGGTTTCATATTTTATGAATACACAAATTACGTTAATTTTAAATTTTCTCTTTTTGCTTCTCATGAGTATACAAGACATGAACTTTATATCAATTGCCTAATCAATTTTATATTATTTCATAAATTAGTATCAACAAATCTCTGATAATACGCAAAATCAACTGTGTTTGGTTGCTGGTTGAACTAGTAGAAGTAGAAGTAGAAGGTTCCAATGGAAAAATGTAGGACCTATAATGTCCTCTAATATGAATTTCCTGCACTCAAGAAGTCTTTTCTGATAATGAAAAATCAGTTCAGTTGAATGGAAAAAATGGATAAACGTTGCGAATCCAATATGAGTTTGAAAAGTGGGTGTATGCAGCTCCAACAAAAACTTCCTACCTTTCTTCACTTCATTGGTCCAATAATGATAACAATAAGGTAAATTTGTGATTCATTGCATTGCAATACACAAAGCTGGGCAAGAAAAAAGACATTATGAACATGTGCAGGTGGGTAATTTATTGTTTTATTTGTAATGCTTGACTCATATAAAAATCTTGTTCATGACATCCTGCCTAGGCCTTCATAGATTCCTATTTTGTAGTATCTATCATCTTTGTAGTAAAATAGCCAATGCAGATTGCATGTACTTCCAAAATGATTAAGTTAAAATAGATAAATAAAAACCCTGGTACAAGCAGGTCATTGTAGGTAGCTTACTTCATAGCTTGAATTGAATCTTTGAACATACATTGAAGTGACACAATATATTTCTATTTGAATATTTAGATTGTGTAATAGCTAATAGATATGGTTTGTTTATAGTAGGTACTAACATTTCTTAAATTTTTCAGCAGGGGAGGAGTTGCCATCCAGGGTATCTTGCAATTGAGTGCAAATAGTTACACAAATTGTAACCAAAACCCAGATTCCTTGAAGTTGAATTCAAGTTTTTAAGGAGATATCACTGATTATTTGGGTACTTGAACATATCCATGACATTTCAAATTGTATCTTGGAAAAATGTATTCATAATTTTACTGCTTGTATGTTATTATTAAACTGTATTTATTCATAAGTAGAAGTTCTACTTTTTTTTCTTTTTGTAATGTTTTATTGTAGGTTTTCAAAATTCATATTTCAATTCCACAACTACCTCAATCAACACCTCATTCTTTTTTGATGCAATTTCAAAGTTTCACTTTATAATCTTTACTGATTCCTTTTAAAATAAATAGGTATACCTACCAGGTAGATACTTACTTTTGCTCATTGTTAATTTATTTCTACATAATATATGAAAGTCCTGGATTTCAAATTCATTTATAATTGTAAATTTTCATGAAGGTATCTTGTAAAATAATTCAGGGAAAAACAGTATACATGAGCACTGAGGGAAGGAGTATACTGGAATATCCTTCTATTTGTAGGTACTTCTTTCTTGACTTCTTTGGAGTGGCATAAGTACAGTATGTGGTGAAATTTGTACTCTGTATATGTTTATAATTAGTTAGTCAAGTTTATTATGACGTTGTCAATCTATCAATGATGATAATTTGTCAGTATAGTTTTCAGTTGAATAAAGCCTTCAATTCTGAATAG